TGCTGAAGGGGCAATAAAAGCTAAGAGCTGGTTACAGTTCCCAAGCCTGCCATTAGCTGAGGTCATGCTGCAGTGGGGAGCGTGTGTGTGTGCAGCTCAGCACTGGTGTATCAGCCACGTCCCAGTGACCCAGCCGGGAGGAGTGGGGCGAGCAGCGGGCAGAGAGGAGCAGCCCCGGCCCTCGGGCTCTGCCAAAGCACTCGGTACCACGAGCTGCAGGCTCCCACCTCTTCCCAGCTCAGCCCATGGTTATGGAAGGCACAAGGGACAAGCTGGCAGCAGTGTTTTGGCAGGGCCCCAGTCCCCAGCCCCGGCCAGCAGCAGCTTGGCACTCACAGCACAGCCCTGGGCACCACGAAGGGGAGGCAGAATTGGAACCCCCGAAGGCAAGGCTGGCTGCTGGGCACCAGAGCCCTGCAGAGCACAGCTGGGGAGGGCTGGCTGCACATCCTGCAGCCATCGGAAAGCCCTCGGCACTCGGGAAACCCCAGCCCGGCTGGGGACAGGGGCCTCCCGTTTCCTGCCGGGATAAAGCTGCTGGAGCTGGGGCTGCCAGCACGCTGCTGCTGTGCTGCTGCTGCTGCTGCATTGCTGCTGCGCTGCTGCTGCTGCTGCAGGAAGAGCCCTGCACAGCAAAGTGAAGCAGACACCGGGGGAGAGGACTCCAGGGCAGGTAGGGTGGTCAGCCACCAGCACAAGTGGAGCCACACCAGCACTCGCAGTGACCCCACCGCACAGGAGCGATGCCAAACACCCTCCTGAAACTGTGTGGGTGGGTAGGAAAAGGAAGGGCACGGATTTCATCCCTGCCAACAGCAGGCACAGAGAGTTTGTCCATCTCCCTTTGTTTTTTCTTGGAGTCTGCTGTTTCAGAGAGGAGATCTTTCCAAACAAACCTGGGCACAGGGAAATAGAGCTGGGGTTTCAGCCCAGTGGCCTGCACAGCAGTCAGACTGAATCCACGGGGAATCCACAGAGGAGCTGCCCCTCCCTGACTGAAACCAACTGTGCCTTTTGTACACACCAGACTTTGCACTGAAATTAAATACCTCTGGAGACTTGCTGGCTTCACTCTGCACTCCTCCCGAGCCAGACCAGGGAGATTTACCTGGAAACACGCGATGCCAAAGGAGATCCCGGCCACAACACTCATTTTGGACTCCATTGTTGACGTTACCAGGAAAAAACAACCCTGCAGAGGAAGCAGAGTAAGCACGTGGATCCAGTGCTGCCCAGCCCCAGGAGCGCAGACCAGCTCCTCCCCAAAGCAGCGGCAGCTCCAGGGGAAGATGCTCCTGTGCAGGCAGCAGGGGGGTCCCAGCTGACCATTTCCCTACCAGGGCTGCCCCCACCAGTGTCCCAGCCCAGGTGCCTTATCCAGGGGAGCAGTGTCCTTGGGCTGCTCCCAGCCTGAGCCAGGTGACTCATGCGAGGAGCCCGTGCATCACTCAGCCATCCCTGGGGATGAGGTCACACGCTCTCACCACCGCTCAGGACTTTGCACAGAAGGGAGACGTCAGCACTGCTGAAACAAACTTCACTGGAAAGCTCCTTCCTTACTCACCTGCTCTTCAAAACACACACCCCCAAAGGCCAGGCTTGGGTCTGGCTGGGCCCTGATCTCAAAGGAAGGAGTGGGGGAAGCTCAGACAGAAGGGAGGGTTCCATTCCCTTACCCCAGCACTGAACACCAGCATGGACAGGGCACTTCTCCTTTCAAGCCTGCCAGGGACAGACTAGGCCTCCTCCACACACCCATCCCTGCTCTTCCCACCTCCAGCACCGGCAGGCAGATTTTTCTGAGCTTAACTTACATCCACAAACACTTTCAGCTTGGCCTTGTTTGGGTCTTTCAGATCTTCCTCCGAGCAGTCGTTCTGGTTCTTGCAACAGCTGGGGGGGATGCCCCTCTGGCTGAAGTACTCAGTCCTCTCCCAGTCAGAATAGTTCTGCACCCCGCAGCAGTGCAGCTGGAGTGGGAGGCACATTTGGGGAGCTGTTCACACCAGGGAACTGCCCCTAGTCCCACCACCCTCCCACGGCTGCCCCAGCCTCGCCCATCTCACCAGCACCCGCCAAAGGCCAAAGCCTGTGCTGGGATGGCGATGCCACAGGGGTCAGAGGGGATGCCCTGGGCCAGGGGAGAGCTCTGAGCTGGGACACCCTGGGGACAGGGCATCACTGCTGGGACACCCTAGGACAGGGCAGCACTCCCAGCTGTGACACCCTGGGCCAGGGGAGCCCTCCCAGCTGTGACACCCTGGGCCAGGTTGGCCCTCCCAGCTGCTGCCAGCCCGGGCTCTCACCGTTCTCTGGATGGTGTCCACGGCCTTGCTGTGCTGGTCTGCTGTCACGTTGTAGTCCTTCAAGGCCAGCTCCAGGTTGCTCTCAAAGCTTGTCTGTATCTGTAGGAGGGCAGTCTCAGGGCAGTGCTGCCCCTCCTGCCCCCAGGAGCCCGTCCCTCCCGCGTTAGTCACGCTGGGGACGGCAGCAGTGACTCGGTGGCCAGCAGACATTCCCAGCCAGGGGGCAATTAGAGGCTGTATTAAAGGGCAGGCTGGCTGCACCGTGGCAGCAGGGATGCTGCCTGTAATAACAAGGACGTGTGCCCTGCCATCCCTCCCAGGAGCTTTAATTACTGAAATTATTGCAGAATATAGACCAAAGTCAGAAATTACAGTCCAAGGCTACTCTGCCTGTTCTGATGGAGGGACAAGGTGCTGTGCTGGACTGACCCTGCACCCAGGCTGGTCCTTCTGGGTCCTTACACGGACCAAGCTGCTCTTTGTGTTGGTTTAACCCTATTTTTGCTAAACTAAGCACTGTTCCCAAGCACCCCTCTGTCCCTGGGTAAAAGCAGCACCAAGGTCACCCTGCAGCACTGGGACACGGCAGTGGCCACCCAGACTCACCTCGTGCCTGAAGACAAACCCCACGATGGCGGCCACCAGGACGATGAGGAAGATGAGGGACAGGAGCATGGCATACTGCGGGCAGAAAGGATGGGATGGGAGGGGTGGACGGGATGGGGCAGGAGGGGATAGTGCAGGAGGAGAGGATGGGGTAGGACAGGATGGGATGGGGCAGGGCAGGACGGGATGGGGCAGGAGGGGATAGTGCAGGAGGAGAGGATGGGGCAGGGCAGGACGGGATAGTGCAGGAGGAGAGGATGGGGCAGGGCAGGATGGGATGGGGCAGGAGGGGATAGTGCAGGAGGAGAGGATGGGGCAGGGGAGGGTGGGATGGGGCAGGAGGGGATAGTGCAGGAGGAGAGGATGGGGCAGGGGAGGGTGGGATGGGGTAGGGATGGGATAGACAGGAATAGGATGGGATGTTTCGGGATGGATCAGGATGGGTTGGAATGGATCAGGAGAGGATGGGGCTCCATCCCACCCTGTCCCAGGCCACCCACCAGCTTGAGCATCCAGGTGCTGCCACGGCAGGTGGCGAAGCAGCCGAAGGTGCCCAGGAGGACAACGACGGTGCCAGCGCCCACCAGGACGAACGGGACATTGGTGGCTTTCTCGTCCAACAGGGAGAAGTAGACGGCCAGGCTCACCCTACCCCAGATGCCCACGGCCAGCAGCACAATGCCCGACACCTGAGGGGACACGGGAAAGCCGCGCTGGCTCGCAGCTATCGCGACAGGGCGGCACAGCCGCGACACGCGCGGGGAAAGGGCGGGCGCTCACCCAGAAGACGAAGGTGTAGGTGAGCAGGACGCTCTTGAGGCAGGTGATCACCGGCTTGGTCTGCAGCCGCCGCGACGGGGACGCCATGGCCGGACCGGGGACGGCGGGGCCGGACCGGGAACGGCGGATCCGGACCGGGAACGGCGGATCCGGACCGAGAACGGCGGATCCGGACCGGGAACGGCGGATCCGGACCGGGAACGGCGGATCCGGACCGGGAACGGCGGATCCGGACCGGGAACGGCGGGGCCGGACCGGGAACGGCGGATCCGGACCGAGAACGGCGGATCCGGACCGGGAACGGCGGGGCCGGACCGGGAACGGCGGGGCCGGACCGGGAACGGCGGGGAGGGCGGGGCCGGGAGGGCGGGGCCTCGGGGACACGCCCCGGACACGCCCCCAGCGGGCCCGAGCGCTCACGGAAATGACCGAGCGATCACGGAAATGGCCGAGGGATCACGGAAATGACCGACGCTCACGGAAATGACCGAGCGCGCCAGCCGGCGCCGTGCTCTTCCCCACTCCGCCCGCAGGGGGCGCCCCGGCCACCCCGTTCGGTGACACGCCTGTGCCCTGTCACCCCCTGTGCCCTGTCACCCCCTGTCCTGTGACATCCCTGTCGTGGGACACCCCCTGTCTGGGGCCACCCCTCTCCTGTGACACCCCCTGTCCCCTGTCACCCCCTGTCCTGGGACACACCTGTCCTGGGACACCCCTGTCCCTTGTCACCCCCTGTCCCCTGTCACCCCCTGTGCCCTGTCACCCCCTGCCCTGTGACACCCCCTGTCCGGGGCCACGCCTCTCCCGTGACACCCCCTGGTCCCGTCTCGCCTTCTGCCTGTCCGACACATGGCACTACCGGCTCATGGCACCACCGGCCAATGGCACTACCGGCACATGGCACCACCCGCATATGGCACTGCCAGCACGCCAACACCCGCCGGGCTTCCTGCCCCCCGTGGGCTGAGCCCTGCCGGGGGTGCCCCGCGGTGTCCCCGGGGCTGCGGGGGGCTGCGGGGGGCTGCGGGCCCCGCACACCGGCAGCAGCAGCGCGTCCCGGCTGGCCTCTGCTGCCCGGAACAGCGTTTCTGCCGTTAATTAGCACGCTCACAGCCTGGCTGCCACATAATTAGCCCATTGAGACGGCACCCCCCGGCCAGCGCCCCTACCTGTCCGTGCCAGGCTCATCCCTCCCTTCTCCCGGCCCCGGCGGAGCCCCAGCCCCGGGCGGCCTCGCTCCTGCCCTGCCTCCCCCCGGTCCCGGTCCCAGTCCCAGCCCCGTTCCTGCCCTGCCTCCCCCCGACCCCAGCTGGAATCACTCGCCCCGCAGCGGTTTCGGAGCCTTCCGTCTGCAGCGGGGTCTCTCCCTCCCTCCCTCCCTCCCTCCTGGCTGGAGGTGGGAAAGGGGACCTGGCTCCTGCGGTTTTGTGCTCGTCCCTGCAGGCCTCCGGTTCCAGGAGTCTGTCAGGGCTGGCACAGGCTCGGTTTGGCTCTCTCCGGTGTCCAAACAGGCTCCTGGCTTTTCTGCTTGCAGAAGAAAACCTCTTACAACTTTTTAAAGCCCCGGAGAAGCAGGAGGCGCGTTGGAAAACAGGCGATCCTGGGATTTACTATTTTTTTTTTACAATCTCATCATTTTGGGCCTGACTCACGGCTTTTGAATGTTTGGGATGGGCAGCCAAGGGGGAACGTAAGTTTGCTCAGCACAAGCAGAGCGGCCAGGCAGGAGGGACAGACATCTGTGCGGTGACAAGGTGACAGAGGGGGGTCATCCTGCCCCCAGCTGCTCTCCATCCTCGCCAGGGCTGGCTGGGGCTGCTCAGAGCCAGCACGGTGGGTGGGCTGCCCAGAGCAGCCCCCCGGCTCCCCAGGATGGCGCGGGAGGCAGCCCCTGTCCTGCTGCTCGTCCTTGCCAGGCTGGTGGCATCCACGTGGCACGAAGGTGAGTGCCAGCCCGTGCGGGCACGGCGGGTCGGGGGTGGCAGCCTCACAGTTCTGCTCCCGCGGAGGGAAGGGATGGAGGATGCCCGGGAACAGCAATGCCAGGAGAGCATCAGCGCCTGAGGCATGGGGTGCCTGTGTGGGTGAGCTGGGGGTACAGGCAGGAGCGGAGGGGATGCTGGCAGGCATCCAGAGAGGAGCAGAAGCCCGGCCTGTCCTCCTCACACGCCTCCCGCTGCCTCCCTGCTCCCACGGGGCCATCGGCCACAGATGTTTGCTGCACGGAGCACACAGTCCCGACCGCCCCATGGCTGGACTCAGGTCACAGGCCTTGTCTGGGGGATTTCCCCCTCCCCTGCCTCCATCCCGGCCCCTGGCCACGCTGCCAGCACGCCCGGGGATGCTCCTGCCCTGGGTGGCTGGAGCTGAGCTGGCCCCAGGTGAGCAGGAAAAGGCGGCACTTGCAGTAGAAGGAAACATCACCATTAAATGGCACATCTGCCTGCGGGGACACGGTGCACTCTGTCCCCAGGGCCCCGGCGGGAGTCCTGGCAGCCCCCCGGGACACGGCTGCGTTCCCCAGGTCACGGATGTGTCCCCACCGCCGCCCCCCGGTGCCATCCCCGCTCCTCCGCTCCCCGAGGATCCCCGGCAGCGTGCAAGGGCAGCTGGATAAAGGATTGTGAAAACGGGCGGGCGGCTTGTAGGGAGCAGCGCTCGGTAGTAAAGTTCATTTTGGAAAGGTTCCTAATGGAGTTTCCTCCCCGTGACGGCGGGGCTCCGCTCGCGTTATCGGCGGATATCCCATCCCAAAACCCGGAGCAGAGACGAGGGGGTGTGCGGTGCAGGCGGGGCGCTGCCGCCTTGCCGGGGTCCCCCCGGCCGAGCATCCCCGCCAGGCCGGAGGGGCGGAAAGGCGGCGGAAACGTGAGCTCAGTGCTGGGGAATGCCGCGGCCGGTGAGGCGCCGAGGGGCCGGGGAAGGATCAGCCTCTCCCCTGCACGGCCCCCTCCCCACCGGAGAGTCCCTTGTCCGGGAAGGCAGGGTCGCAAGGATGGCGCGGGGCTGTCCCCACGCCACCCCACGCAGCACGCGTGGCCAGGGGCCAGCAGCTCCGGCAGAGACCCTCCGGCAGCTCCATCCTGCCCTGGAGCACGGGCGGGGGGCTGCATCCCCACGGGCACGGGCAGCGGGCATCCCTGCCTTGGTGAGGGACGGGCAGGAGAGGGCAGGGAAGGGCAGGAGAGGGCAGGAGAGGGCAGGAAAGGGCAGGAGACGGCAGGGAAGGGCAGGAGAGGGCAGGAGAGGGAAGGAGAGGGGAGGGAAGGGCAGGGAAGGGCAGGAGAGGGTAGGAGAGGGCAGGGAAGGGCAGGAGAGGGCAGGGAAGGGCAGGGAAGGGCAGGAGAGGGCAGGAGCGGGCAGGGAAGGATAGGAAAGGGTAGGAAAGGGCAGTTTTCTCCCTTCCCTGGGGGTGCCCCGTGGCAGTGCCGGTGCCATGGGAGCGGGTGGAAGCGCTTCCCGGCAGCACGAAGCCGGGGGTCGGTGCCAGCCCACTCCGTGCCAGCGCCCGTTTCCTGCCACAAGCTCGGCCGCTGCTGCCGCTGTTTAGTCTGCGGTCGGTGCCAATGTCACCGGGGACGGGGCTTGCGGTCTGCCCGGTTTAACCCTTGAGAGCAGCCCCAAGACAGGGCCTGCGCAGGGCTGGGATTGCTCGTTGGCAGCCACGGGAGGTTTTGCAGCCATGAGCTACCCTGCAGCCAGCTCGTCTCTTCCTTCCTCCCAGGGTCTGGCTACTACCTGGAGAGTCACACCAACGAGGTGTACGCAGAAGAACCCCCCCCTGAGCCTGTCCTGGATTACCACCGAGGTAACAGCGCCCAACCCGTCCTTTGTGTCCTCGTGGGGAAACCGAGGCACGGCAGATTGCCCCATGGCCTCCCTGCTCTCCCGCAGTGCCCCAGTGGTGCGCCACGCTCAGCATCCACCGCGGAGAGGCCACTTGCTACTCCCCGCGGGGCAGCTCCTACCGCAGCAGCCTGGGGACCCGCTGCGAGCTGAGCTGTGCCCGTGGGTACCGCCTGGTGGGTCCCGCTGCCGTCCGGTGCCTGCCCAGCCGCCGCTGGTCGGGGATGGCGTACTGCCGACGTGAGTGCCCCGGCCCTGGCCCTGCTGGCATCACCCACGGCACCCAGCCCTGGGTGCTCTGCCTGCCCAGGCGGCCGCAGCCGCTGCCCTCCGCTCTTGGCTGTGTCCATCGCAGAGATCCGGTGCCACGTGCTGCCAGCGGTGCTGCGGGGCTCCTACGCCTGCTCGGCGGGCGTGCAGATGGATTCCCGATGTGACTACACCTGCCTGCCCGGCTACCAGCTGGAGGGCGACCGCAGCCGCATCTGCATGGAGGACGGGCGCTGGAGCGGGGGCGAGCCAGTCTGTGTAGGTAAATTCCCACCCCACGCTGTGGGGCATGCCGGGGATCATCACCTGCGTGGGGTGTCTGCAGGTGTCACCCCACAGCCAGCCCGGACATTTCCTGCACCTCCCTCCCTTGGGCCCCTGTCCCTGCTGCTCCCCGCAGTGCCATCAGCCCTGAGGTGCAGGCACCAGCCCAGGCTGGGGCACTCAGTGCTGCTTTACAGCAGCTCCGGGTGGCTCCCAAGCACCTGGTGCTCTCACAGCCCAGCCGAGGCACCCACAGGTTCCATGAACCCCTCTCCTCCCTCTGGGCAGATCTGGAGCCTCCCAAAATCCGCTGTCCAGACTCCCGGGAGCGCATAGCAGAGCCAGGCAAGCTGACTGCCACCGTCTACTGGGACCCTCCCCGCGTGAGGGACTCTGCTGACGGTGTCATCAAGAGGTGAGGGCAGAGACCCAGCGGGCACCGCCAGCGAGGGCTGGAGGCCGTGCCGGGTGCCGCTGCCCGGGCTGCTGCTGGAGAAACCCGTCTGTTGGGTCAGGGTGATGCTTCTGTTGGGTCAGGGTGATGCTGCGGGGCCCCGAGCCCGGCTCCGAGTTCCCTGAGGGAGAGCATGTGATCCGCTACACCGCCCACGACCAGGCCTACAACCGCGCCAGCTGCAAGTTCAGCGTCCGCGTCCACGGTGAGCGCGCTCCCGCGGGGCTGCCTGCTGCTGCCCCAGCTCCAGCGTTCACACCCACTGCTGCCCGGGCTCCAGTGTTCACACCCGCTGTGGGCACCCATCACCCCCAGCCCTCACACCTGCTCTGGGCACCCATCACACCCGCTGTGGGCACGCATCACACCCACTGTGGGCACCCATCACCCCCAGCCCTCACACCCGCTGTGGGCATGCATCACACCCGCTGTGGGCACCCATCACACCCGCTGTGGGCACCCATCACCCCCAGCCCTCACACCCGCTGTGGGCACCCATCACCCCCAGTCCTCACACCCGCTGTGGGCACCCATCACACCCACTGTGGGCACCCATCACCCCCAGCCCTCACACCCGCTGTGGGCATGCATCACACCCGCTGTGGGCACCCATCACACCCGCTGTGGGCACCCACAGCCCCAGCCCTCACACCTGCTGCTGGACACCCATCACACCCACTGTGGGCACCCATCACACCCGCTGTGGGCACCCACAGCCCCAGCCCTCACACCTGCTGCTGGACACCCATCACACCCGCTGTGGGCACCCATCACACCCGCTGTGGGCACCCATCACACCCACTGTGGGCACCCATCACCCCCAGCCCTCACACCGCTTCTCCCTGTGCAGTGAGGCGCTGCCCTGTCCTGAAGCCTCCGCAGAACGGGTACATCTCCTGCACCTCCGACGGCAACAACTACGGTGCCACCTGCGAGTACCTGTGCGACGGGGGCTTTGAGCTCCAGGGCACCTCCCTGCGGGTCTGCCAGTCCAGCCAGCACTGGACGGGCTCCCAGCCCCTTTGTGCACGTAAGTGGTGCGGGCAGGGCAGGGCTGGCAATGCCCAGAGCTTTGGGGGACGCTGCCCAACGGGTCAGAGGGGTGATGGCAGCACGATGGCACCTCCCCACACGCCGCTGTCGTGCCCCAGCCATGCAGATCAACACGGATGTGCACTCGGCCGCCAGCCTGCTGGACCAGTTCCACGAGAAACGCCGCCTCTTGGTCATCTCGGCCCCCGACCCCTCTAACCGCTACTACAAGATGCAGATCTCCATGCTGCAGGTGAGCAGAGCTTCCTGCCCTTCCTTCGCCACCTCCGCATCCAGCACCCCCTCACTGTCCCCTCCTTGCAGCAAGCTGCCTGCGGGCTGGACCTGCGCCACGTCACCACCGTGGAGCTGGTGGGGCAGCCCCCACACGAGGTGGGACGCATCCGGGAGCACCGGCTGTCCCTTGGCATCATCGAGGAGCTCAGGTAGGGCAGGTGGGGCTGTGCTGCAGACCAGCTGGCTGTTCAAGGGGACAGGCAGGGGGAGTGCCTCTAGCAATGCCAAAGCATGGGGTTGCAGCTGGGTTCACAAACAGCCCCTTCCTGCTGCACCAGAGGGGCTCGTGCAGCGGGGGGACCCCTGCAAGTCTGAATGCAGCACCACCAGAGCTGCCCAGAGGTGGGAGCCCCCAGCCCAGGAGGAGCTGAGCGTGGCTGTAAGAGGCAGGCAGGCCCAGCCCTCAGTGCAAGCCCTGAGCAGAGCCCCCCTTGGCCCTGCAGGCGCTTCCTGCACCTCACCCGCTCGCACTTCAACGCGGTGCTGCTGGACAAGGCGGGCACGGACCGCGAGCGCTACATCTCCCCAGTCAGCCCCGAGGAGCTCTTCGTCTTCATCGACACCTACCTGCTGAGCGAGCGCGAGGCAGCACGGCGGGCACAGAGCGGGGACCCCTGCCAGTGACCCCCGCCCTGCCCGGGCACCGACACCTTCCCGCCTGCTTCTCTGTCGCCCGCTGCAGAGGAGGAGCGGGGTGCCAAGGTGCCAAGGAGCTCAGGGAAGGGAGTCCCTCTGGCTGCCCTGGCACACGGAGCTGAGCAGGGACTGCGTGCCAGCGGTGCCCCGCTGCCCAGAGCCGGGAGCTGTTTCCAGCTGGGGGATGGTTCAGCCCAGCCAGGACCCTGGCGGGAGACCCTGGGGTGCCCCTGCTCGATCCCAGGGCTGGGGGGAACCGGGGAGCCAGAGGAGAGCAGCAGGGCAGGGAGGGCAGCACGACAGCCTCGAGCACAGCAGCTTCAGCCTCCCCACGGCTCACCCTGTGCACACCCTGGACCCGATGCCTCCCACTCTGAAACCCTGATTAAAAGCAAATTGCCCCTGCCCAGCAGAGCCCATAGCAGCCAGCCAGCGTGCAGTCCACTCTAAAGGGCTTGCCATCTCCCCTGCCAGTCACTCCCTCTCCCACCACCCATGGGGAACCCTTTCTGGGAACTGCTTTGGCAGTAGAATATTCACTTGAAATAAATAGATTTGTATAAAAAGTCAGTGCTGGCACACGTGTCCCTGCGAGGCCTGGGAAACAAATGTTTCCTGGAGACCACAATCCCCAAAGCCCCAGGCTGACCCCACACAGTTCCATCCATCCAGGGCTGCAGCTGGGGCTGGGCTGTGTATGGAAGAGGGTGCAGAGGACAAGGAGAGAGCAGACTCTGCAACGGGGTGGTAGGAAAAAGAATGGGAAGAAATAAAAACACAATGACATTTCAAAGCATTTTGCCTGGGGGAGAAGAAGGGAGGGTCCATGAGCACTGCAATTCAGCCTGAAATCTGGTACAAGGCTTATGACGAGAGGAAAACCCTTTAAACAAATCTAGGCCAAGAAGACTTTCTGCCCAAGCCTGTTTAGAGAAGGTCATGTTTATTAAAGTATAAGAAAAAAAAACAAGGCGTATTTGGCCGCCTTGCCAGGCTGTGCAGTAGGCACGGCTCCCGACAGCGGTGCCAGTCCTGGTGCCACAGCCTAGGGCCTCAGCTTGGCCATGCTGGAGCGCAGCTGGAGCGTCCCCTCCGCCCAGGAGCCCGGGTACTGGCACATCTTCTGCCACAGGTTCAGCTCCTCGCCCGTGGAGTCCATCCAGTCCACAGCCTGCCCGTTGCTCATGCCTGGCAAAGGGATGGCAAAGTCCCTGCGGGGGCAGCCTGGCACCCACAGAGCAGCAGCCCCACGAGGCCGTGGTGCCCGGAGTGCCAGGGGCCCGCGGGCTCTCACCTGTGCCCACCCCCAGACGGACACCCCCGAGGAAGTCGTTGCTGGACAGCGGCTCCCGGTCCCAGACCGTCAGCTCCAGGCAGATGTGCTGCAGCTCCTCGGGCGACACACCGTTGTACACAAAGGTGTGGTTGTAATGGGGGTTCAGGGTCTTCTTCACCACGGGCGTCTTCCTCTTGGAGGCTTTGTTTTTGTGTGGCAGGAGGTAGCTGGGGGAAGCAGCCCCTTGGTGAGCAGCTCAGGGGCAGCTGCCTCCTGCTCTGGGGGCTGGGGCACTGCAGCGCCCCAGGAGTGGCCTGGAGCCCCCTCCCTGCCTTTCCTGGCACGGCTCAGGAAGAAGGACCGTGCCACCCTGCAAGGGGCTCTCCTCCAGGGCCTCCAGCAGCTTTGGGAATACAGCCAGGGAGGACAGTGCCTTCCTCGACCCTGCCCCAGGACCCTCGCTCACCCCTTGACAAAGCTGTCTGAGGTCCCTCCAGACTTGGCTGCTGTGAGGTTCTTGGCTTCTTTGATCCAGACCTGGAGCTCACCTCCTTCCCCTGTTTTGCCTAGGAAAAACCCAACACAGTAGAAATTAATCAAATTCAATTTCTACCATGGCAAACTTCTGGAAAGCTCCTGCTGAGCACCCTTCATCCCAGAGGCAGGTGCAGAGCCTGGACTGGCATCTCCTCTTGCCTTCTCCTGTACTGGCCCTGCCTGCTGAGGGCAAAGGCAGACAAAACTGCTTAATGCAGGGACAGATCTCAAGCCTGGTCCAGCCCCAGGGAAGTACTGAGATGGTTTGGGCAGCCTGAGGACAGCCAGGTCTGCCCTGACCCAGAGCAGCTTTGTAGGCACTGCAGAGGAGAAGGCTGCAGAGACACCACCCAGAGCCAGCCTGCATGGCCACCAGCAGCCCCTGCAGGGCTACACTGAGCCCAGAGCCCCTGCAGGGCTACACTGAGCCCAGAGCCCCTGCAGGGCTACACTGAGCCCGGAGCTCCAGCACTTACCTTTCCTGCCATTCCCAGCCCCAGCATGCTTGGCAGATGGGATGTACTTCATGGAGACAACCAGCTCCCCCTTGTACTGGTGGAGACCAGCAACATCTGCCCCAGCCTGCAAAGAGGTGAGAATTACCAAGCACTGCAGAGAAGCCACTGCACACACAGTGCCAGCCTGGTGAGCAGCACCTCCAGGCTGGGACAAGGACTTGGCTTCTCCAAGATGTGACTGAGCTGGCACATCTTTGAGTTTGCCTGCAAACTCTCCCCAGCACGACCAGTGCAGCCCAACTCCTTTGGGAACTTCCTCTGGCCCCATCACCTGCCAAGGAGAGGGAAGCTAGGCTCAAGGCAGATCTGCCCTTTTTTACTACAGCTGCACTGCTGTCTGCATCTGGGGTATTCACACCTCCCACATTTGATTCAGCAAAGCCTTTTGGCAATGCTCAGCTGAGGTCTCCACACCCCTCTGCCCGCCAAGGGCTATACCCCAACAGCACCAGGCAAGGGAGGCTGTGGGCAGCACGGGCACACCTTGCCATGCAGGGGCAGGAACTCCTCCAGGTGGCTCTCGAAGTTCCAGGCACCCAGGGGAACCTCCACCTCCCCCAGGAATGTGTTGCGGCCGAAGCGGTCGTGGTGCCACACCGAGAACTGCAGCGTCCTCGCCAGCAGGAGGGACTTGTTAATCTCATACTGGGGAGAGAGAAAACCACTGCTGAGGGCAGCAGAGGATGGGGCAGGCCTGGCAGATTCCATCAGCTACAGCTCCCGAGCACGAGAGGAGACAGGTCCGAGAAGCAGTGGATGCGCACAGGAGGCTGTTTGTCTCTCATTCCACGCCTGCCAACACCTCAGACTGCCAGGGCAGCGGTGCAGGAGCCTGTGCTGTCCCAGCAGGCGGCCCCTGGAGCCAGGACTCATGGCATTTGGGCATCCCACCACCAGCAGAGCTCTGCCAGACCACCGAGCCTCAGGTGGTCAGAGCACAGACCTCAGCAGACCTGGCTGTGAGAGCCTGAAAACCAAACCTGAAAACCAAACCGCAGCTCTCACTTCCTCCTGTGCAAGGCTGCCTGGCCTCAGAGGTGCACTGTACACTCAGGGACAGTCAGCCAGCAGCCATGGCAAAGGGCAGTGCCAAGTTGTTCTGCCCTGGGGCCCAGAACTTATCTCTGTCCCTGTGGTGTACTGCCCTCCCTCCTGCCACTGTAACACGCCTCCAGGGGCCAGGAAGCCTCCACCTTGGAAGGAAATATCCAGGGAAATATCCAGGGTGCCTCTGCTCCGGGAATGCCACAGGAACCAGGGACGTGTCCTGTGACACAGCCACATCTGCAGCTGTGCCTCCACCCCCCCGTGGCACTGGGGCCTGGCAGCACAGCCAGAGCAGAGCAGGACTTTGCAGCTTTCAGGGCGCAGTCTCTGGACACGGGTCCTCTGCAGAGACCCTGCTGCAGGGTTGGGAGCTCAGCCCTCTCTGGCTTGTTGCAGCAGCATCCCCTGGGTCCCTGCAGGCCAGCCCAGCCCCACCGACCTTCAGCAGCTCGTTGTACAGGGGATTGATGGTATTGCGTTTGATGGTTGTCTTGCGTTTCCCTTGCCGGGATTTGTCGGGCAGGAGGTAGGTCTTCACATACCTGAAGGGAGAACAGGCAGCACTGCAGCAAGGCCTCTCCAGAGTTAACCCTCCGAGCTCCCCAGGGCAACCCCAGACCTTGTGCCTCACCAGGACCCTCCCACTTACAGCTCCCATCTCTGGTGGGCACCCCAACCCAGCTGGGCACCACCAGTGGTGGCAGCAGCCATCGCCCCCCCGGCTCTCACGGGTTGGAGCGCTTCCTGCCCTCGTCCCCAAAGGCCAGCTGGCGACACTCCTTCACGTGAATGAACAAGGTCTGCGTCTTCTGCTCGTAGCTCAGGGAGAAGGAGATGCCCCCGGTGACAGCCACGCTGCCGAAGTCCCCGGCCTCGCTGTAAATGCTGACCATGCTCCCCAGTGTGCTCTGCAAAACAAGGCAGGGCTGAGCTGGCACAGGGTCACCTGGCAGTCCCTCCTCATCCTCAGCAAGGTTACCCCCTGTGCATCTTCTGCACGGGCCCCTCACCTCCCCGTGGCTGGGGATGGCCACAGGGGCCTCTGTCCCACACACAACTGCCGGGAAGAGAGCTGGGCCTCTGCATTTCGATTCCCTTTAGGGGAAGAAGCCCGCACACACAAGGCCTTCCCCTTCCCTGCAGGAGCTGCCTGCCCTGCCCCGCTCCCACCCGAGCCTTTGGCACTCCTTCCTCCACCGCTCCTCCGTGCAGCGGAGTGCAGCACGGCGCCCACGGGAGCTCACCGAGGAGGTGCCGCTGCGCATGCTGCCCCGCGCCACCCGCTGCCGGTGGATCTCCACCAGGTTATCGATGTCCTCCTCCTCCTCCTCCTGCAAGGACAGAGAAGCCGCCGGTGTGGGGAGCAGCCAGCCAGACACCCGGCTGCTCCAGCTGGCACCATCTCCCTGGCACCCTGAGGGTCTCACCAGCTCCGTGTTGAGGCCAGGGACCGACTTGCTCCTGTCCCCCAAAGAGCCACCTTCTCCCACAAGGTCCTCGGGGCGCAGGTCGATCACGGACTTGGTGTAGTCTGCACGAGAGGCGGTGAACAGCGCACTGAGCAGGACCAGCAGGGCCCTGCTGCTCCCTCGCACAGGAGGCTGCCCCAGCCTCTCTCATCTGCACTGAAAGCCCTTCCCAGCCCGGGGAGGAGGAGCTGCCCACCCCTGGCCGTGTCAGCACCCGTGCGTCTCTCACCCGCAGGCCGCACCACCCGCCGGGGGTTCTTCTTGAATATCATCTCATGCTCGTCCACCAAGGCGCTGCTGCGGGTCCCCACGGTGGCATCCTGGGGAGGAAGAGTCCCTTGAGAGCAGGGCAGGGCTAGGAGCCCTGTGGGGTGCCAGCCCCACGCCCCAGGACAGGGCTGAGCCTGCCGGAGCAGCGTCACACACCCGCCCGTCAGAGAACGTGTTCCTGGAGCGGAGAGGGAGGGTCAGGCTGGAGGAAGCAGGTCCTGCTGGCCCAACAACCTGTTTTCCAGGGATGGCTCTCTCCAGGGAGTTCCTCCTGTGGCAGACACAGAAAGGTCTGTCCCAGGCCACAAGTACAGCTGGCAGAACAAGTGCTGGCCAGGAAGCGCCACTTGAGCTGCCCGTAGCAGCCTGGGAGCAGAGGACCTTCCTGCCCAGGGACAGGCTTCAGCCCAGCCACAGGAGCCAGCTTCCCCTCACTAGACTGAGAAAAACACACTTCAGATGAAGGTTCCATCCTCTGCCAGCCAGTCTTGCCAAGGACAAGCCACCCTGGGATCCTCTTACCTGCCCCCTACATCAGCAGGACCAGGTCTGTAGCTGTCCAGGCTCATGTTTTCCATGGACTCTGTGTCGCTTTTGCCATCCCTAGGCTCTGAGGCATCTGGAAACAAACTGCAGACAAGCAAAACCACAGGTATGTCCTGTTTGGCGAGGAGGTCGCTCAGAGAGCTTCTGCGCCACCGATGATCCGCACGGGGCAGCAGCTTCCTCTCAAACCTGCAGCAGATGAGAGCTGCTGCCTGGAGCAGGGGGACAGCAGGGATTCCTACCTGGACCCCTCCCGGGGCGCAGGGGGGCTCGGCTGCCGGACTGCAGAGGAGCTTTTAGGCTCACTGAGCTGGGCTTTCTGGAGGAGAGTGTGTCCCACAGTCTCTCTTTTGTTGGCTGCAAGAGAGGCATCAGGAGGAGCACTGCTCCTGGAGCAGGAGCTGCTCCCATCCAGCTCCACACAGGGCAGAGAGGCACTGGGGAAAGCTGGAGCACCCAAGGTGGCTGGGCTGCGGGAGAAGGCCTTGCTGTGGCACCCCTACCTGCCGGCCTGTGCCGCAGGGACAGCCGCACCATGTCGCTGCCCAGGTGGTTGGCAAAGCGGTTCACCCTCTGGTCATAGAACCAGTCACCCGTTTCCTTCTTCAGCTCACTGCAGGGCAGGGGTGGTGGGGGCACTCAGGGGCAGTGGGGACTGTCAGCTGGGCCCCAACCCACCCTCGGTGCTGCCACAACCCAAGAACAAAGGCACAATGGGCAAAATCAGCGGGTGACTGGGCAGGGACCATTCACCGGGCAGTTGACAGGCTCAGCTACATCCCCAGCAAACACGGCAGCAAGGCAAGTTTTGCAGGACAGAGGAAGCCAAAAGGGAGGAAGCCTGGGGTGCTTGGAGCACAGGCTGTGCAAGGGCACAGGGGGATGCTGCAGTTAGTTCAGCTGAAGGAGCAGGACGTGAAGGAGACACAAGAGAGGGGCATGACCCATTTTTCCATCACCCAAACACAGGAACCCCCTCCAGGAGTGACAGCAGAGCAAGCTGCCCTGCACTGGGGAGGACCAGCCAGGCTAGGAAAGGCTGGCTATGGGCCACCAAGTTGAGGCAACTGAGAGGAGGAAGGGAAAAGGAGGCATGTGCAGAATGTGCCTGCCACTGGTCCTGGCTACTCACGCCTCCTTGGTGCAGACTTTGCAGCGCCAGGAGCCGCCGGGGCTGTAGGAACGGCAGTCCCGACACACCAAGTGGTTGCAGCCCCGGCAAGTGTTGGCCTTGGGGCTGACGCGGCCCAGGCTCTGCTGGCAGCGGGCGCAGGTCCGCTCGCTGTAGCGCTGGCTGCCCCGCTTGGCTCCCTTGCGCCGGATCTCCAGCAGCTCGTTCTTCAGCCGCCTGCTCAGAGCCAACACCGGGAGCTGTCAGAGGCGGCCCGGGACCCCGGCAACACCCGTCACCCACACTCATCCACAGCGGGGAGGCAGCTCCTGCCCAGCTCCAGCCGCCTTCGCACCTGATCCTCCTCTCCTCTGCCTTGCGGAGCTCCTCGTCGCGCTGCAGGACCTGCAGGATCAGATCTCTCTCCACGTCCGACAGGAAGGACAGGTCCACCGCCTCCGACATCGCTGTCCCCGGGGTGGTGGCCCTCACCGGACCCCAGCTAGGGACATGCCAGCTGCTGAGCGCGGGTCGCGCCCCGCGAGGTGCCCCGTGCCCGCTGCCGGGCCGGACCCGGGGCTGGCGGCACGCAGGACACCGGCCCGCCCCGGGCTGGGCTCGGGCTGCCCGCCAGCCCCGCTGACCTCAGCCGGCTCCGTGGGACCGGGCTGACGCGCGGCACCCGCGGGCGGCCCCGGCAGGAAGGAGCCGCCCCGGGCCGCCCCTCCCACGAACGCACCGGGGCTCGGAGCTGCCCGAGCCCGAGGAGCCGCCGGGAGCGGACACGCACCGGGGCGGCGGGGCCGGATCCGGCTCGCAGGGAGCGGCAGCAGGAGCCCAGCCGGGACGGAGCCGCGGCGCTTGCCCGGGGCTGCCCCGCTCCGCAGCGCTTGCTCGGGGGCTGCCCCGCTCCGCAGCGCTTGCTCGGGGCTGCAGCCGCTCCGCAGCGCTTGCTCGGGGCTGCCCCGCTCCACAGCGCTTGCCCGGGGCTGCCCCGCTCCCGCTCCCGCCCGGCTCGGCGGAACCGGCGGCACCGGCGGCAGGACGTTCCTGTGCCCGCAGCCGCGCTCCCGCGTCCCTCGGGGAGGAGGGGCCGGCGGGGCGGACCCCGGGCTCCTCTCTATCGGGAAAAGTGGATCCGGGGTCGGGAGCACCGCGTTCGCAGCGCGGCCACCGGGGCTGGGAACTGCCCCCGCCCGGTACACCGCGGCTGGGCCCCCGGACCACAGAGGGACCCCTGGCTACCCCCGACTCCCCTCCGGCCGAGGGATCCCCGTCCTGCCCCGCCCGCGGAGGAACCCTCGGTACCCCGCCCGATCGCACGACCCTCCCGGTACCTGCCGCGGCTCCGGCCGGCGCCTCCCGGCAGCGGGAGGGGACAGCGGCACGGGAGGGGACAGCGGCACGGGAGGGGACAGCGGCACGGGAGGGCGGCGCCGGTGCCTTAAAGGAGCCGCGGCGGCCGCACCTGCGGCACGGACGGGGCGGCCCGTGCGGGAGGCGGTGCCCGATCCCTGCAGCCCTTCCCCGCCCGAGCAGCCCGGAACAGCCGCGGCTCCAGCCCCCGGGCCGCTCTCCCCGGTGCCCCACGGCCCTGAGTGGGCGGGTGGCTTCTCCCGAAGGGCAGAGAGCGCACCGACACCGAACGGCGGGGCACTCCCCGGCGTGCCCACGGAGCGGCCCAGGGCCGTGGTGTCCTCCCGCCGCCAGGCTCCAGCCCTGCCCTTGTCCTTCGTGGCAGAGATAGCGTCCCCGCAGGGCGCCTCGTCCCTGTCCCCGCAGCACAGGCACCGGGGAGCCCGAGCACACGCGGCTGGCCGGGGAGTGGGGCCCCACCCGCGGGGACGCGGCCTCTCGCCACGCAGGACAGCGGGGAGCCACCTGCGTGCAGCCCCAAGGCAAACGAGAGCACGCGGCTCTGCCCACACTTTCGGCCGCACCCCAGGGAAGGGAGAGCCGGAGCCTTCCAGCCCTGTGGGAAGTGATGGGACACCGAGAGTGGAAAAAACCACGGAGACATCAAAGGGCCAGCGGGAGCTTCCGTGGGGCAGGGGTTCACTCCATCGGGAGTACACAATAAACATGCAGAGGGCTTTGGGCTGGCAGGCAGACAATGCCACAGAGGCTTTGCTCCCTGAGCCCCTCCGCACACCACCCTAGGACCCAAAGTCCCCAGGCCAGACCCCCATGCTTGCACCAGCGTTCACGTTTAACTGGACACCAAGAGGTGGTGAGAAATATCTTTATTTTTGAAAAAAAGATAGGAAGGAAACAGGATGAACAGACTTGTTTCAAGTACATTAAAAAAGCATGCTGCTAAATACAAGCACCAAGCTTGTCCCTGACCTGCTGAAATGACCCCAGCAGGAACCCAAGGTTTCTCAGCACTGTGGCTCTCTCCTGGGTGAAAATGGGGCTCAAGGTGCTCCCACGTGTCCAAGCCCTGGGCAGCAGCTGGCAGAGCCAGGACAGAACACTGGCACCCTGCACTCCAGCTTGCTCCATCTGTGTCTGGATCATGAAGGGATCTGCCGTGTGGAGCACAACCCTGGGTGCCCTGGCACGGGGAGGCACTGCTGGGCAGTGCTGCCACCTGGGAACTAGCGGACACAAGGCACATCCAGGCTGGCAGCAGGACAGCATCTCCGTGCCCCTGGTGCTTTGACACCACCCTTCCAAGGGAGCTGGAGCCCCAGCGGTGCCCATGCCCCGCTAAACGGGAGGCACAGGCTGGCACTTGAGGTCCAGCACGAGGTGATGCACGTGTGGTGCGTAGGACTTCACTGCCTCGATGTGCAGGACGCTGCAGCGCCACGGCCGCCCATGCAGCTCTGCCAGCAGCCCCTGGATCCGCGCGGCCGTGGCTGCAGCCCACCTCTGCCACTCGGGTCTGAGCCGGGCCCCCGGCGCCTCCTGCCCCCCGTGCTCTGGGGGGCACGGCGCCTCTCCCGCGGAGCTGGCTGCCTCTGCAGAGCCCCGCTCAGGCAGCAGCACCGCGCCGTGCGCCGGGCGAGCCTCCACGTTCTGGTGGATGTGGAGAACCCCACCCGTGTCCTTCTTCAGGACGCGGCAGGCCACCGGCCAGCCCTCCTCCGAGCTGGGAAGCAGCCCCAGGCTCACCCTGTCCGCCACATCCCGCAGCTGCAGCTGGGAGGAGAGCGGAGGTGAGGGGATGCCCGCGGGAAGGGCTCCCGTGCCCGGCGCAGCGCTCACCTGCCGGCTGTCCCCGCGGTGGATGCGGCAGCGCTCCCGCACCCCGTTCAGCACCAGGCTCCTGTGCAGGGCCTCCACGGCGTGGCTGTTCCACTCACAGGCGTGCACAAAGGCGGCTCCCGCGTGCACCAGGAAGGGCAGCGTGAAATAGCCGATGCCTGCAGGCAGGAGGTGGCACTGACTGGGGGCAGGGACCTCCAGAGAGCCACACTCCTCCCCGAGGGCAGGGCGGGATGCACACCGACACCCTGCCTCTCCAACTCGGCTTTGCTCTGGGTTGGAAAAAGCCCAAACACTGGAAAAATGGAAATTTATCTCTCCCTCTTCTGCAAAAGCAAATTCCGCCTTGAAAAATGTTTAGAGGAGCTTATTTAACCTTCAGTCTTTGGCCACCAGGCTGAGACCTGTCTGGTTCTGCAGAAGTGTCCAGATTACCATTTCTTTTGATTAATCCACAGGAGTTTTGTGGGTGGCATTGTCCTTTCAGTGTGGCACAAATTGGAAGCACTAACTTCCTTAAGCACAAACAGTGGCAAATCTTTCCCCTGGATCGAAGTGATTCCCCAGACCAGTACTAGGCACAGAGCCTGAGAACAGGACATCCTAAGAGGCTGCAGAGACACAGGCAGGACAGCAGTGCCAGCATAGCCGAAGGGCTCACAGACAAGATAGGAGCTCCAAGCCTGAGTATTTTTCATTCCAAGCTGGAAGTGACATTTCCTGTCTACCTGGATGCCATCAGCACCTGTCCTGCCCCTCCTCCATCCCCATTACCTGCATAGAGATCCACCACGACCTCCCCGGAGCAGGGCAGTGAGGCCACACGCAGCTTCTCCGTGATGTTGCCCGGGGAGAACATGCACTTGGTCACATCGAAGGTGTACCTGGAAGACCCGGCCCAGATGGTGAGGGCAGCCCCTTCCCCAGCAGCCGCATCCTGCATCTCCTGCCCACCTGATGCCGTTGTCCACGTGCTCCACCCAGCCGTGCTGGCCCAGCAGCAGGGTGACGCTGGGGGTCCGCATCCCGTCCGGCATCACCCGTCCTCGCCTGGCCACCCGCCGGGCCCCCAGAGCCGAGGCCACCGTCTCCCAGAGCTCCGGGCCTGGACACAGCACCCCGGGAGGCACAGGCAGTGAGACAAAGTAAAACTTTAACAGTAGAAATCCATTTAGATTTAAGTAAAATGTACTACTTTGAGCTTATTACGTAAGTGAAATATGTTATTTAGTCTAGTAAGTACAGCACTAGCAAAGTTGTCTTAACTAGAGATAAGAAAAACTCCTCAGACTTTAAAACAAAGCAGAGTAACCCAAAAGTTCTTTCTATACCTTCTAACAAAAACTAAGTAGAAGTGTAACTAACTGTAAGTATAACAGAATGAATATGCGTGAATCTCTTGTAAAATTCTATGCATGCAGGAAATTACCTCAACTAGAATTTTTAGAATAATTTTTATTACCTTGACTAGAAATTAGTCAAGGAAATAAAAAAAGAGCAAGAGTTCTCAGAAGTGTGCATGTCCATTAAAGGGCATCCACAACACTGTGAATAAACACAGCACTGCCTACAGATCTTTATTAGCACTGTAGGGTTTGATTTTTCACCCGTGTCTCCCCGCTCACCCAGGCGCTCCCAGGCCGGGCCGCTGAAGCATTCCTCGCTGAGCAGCAGCAGGTCTCCGTGGCGCTGCCAGGCGTGCGGCAGGTCCCGCTCCAGCTCCGGGGGGCAGCCGGCGGGCAGCAGCCGCCGCAGCTCCTGCAGCAGCCTGCGGGCCGGCGGGCGGCGGCGGGCGGCCCTGGAGGGGACAGCGTCCTGCGGCAGGGCCGTGCCGCGGGGCTCGGGGCTCAGACAGCGCCGGGGCTCGCAGCCAGCCGGCTGTGCCAACCTGGATCCGGAGCAGCTCACAGGGCATCTCCGCGGGCAGGCAGAGCTGGGACAGCTTCTCCTCCAGCACGGGCACGGCCACGCGGCCGCCGGGCAGCGGCTGCAGCCGGTAGCGCCCGTCCAGGAGCCGCTCGGCTTCCAGGCATTCCCTGCGGGGAGAGCCCTTCAGAGCCGGCTGCTGGCCCCGGACAGTGCAGGGCGGGCTGCCCCCGTCCTGCCGGACAGCACAGGGCCCTGCTCCCCCCATCCTGCCGGACAGCACAGGGCTCTGCTTCCCTCATCCTGCCGGACAGCACAGGGCCCTGCTGCACCCATCCTGCCGGACAGCACAGGGCTCTGCTTCCCTCATCCTGCCGGACAGCACCGGGCCCTGCTCCCCATCCTGCCATAGAGCACAGGGCCCTGCACCCCCCATCCTGCCGGACAGCACAGGGCCCTGCTCCCCCTCGTTCCCCCGGGCCTCACCTCAGGCGCTGGGCGAACCTGCGCTCCGTGGCCAGCGCGGGCACTTCCGTGGCCAGTGCGGGCAGCTCCGCGGCGGCCATCCTGCGAGCCCCAGGCGGCGTCAGGCTCGCCAGGGACTGCGCCGGAACGGCATCCCCGGTGCCGGCGGTACCCGAGGCCGCTCCCGGTGCCGGCGGTACCCGAGACCGCTCCCAGTGCCGGGGATCCCCGAGGCCGCTCCCGGTGCCGGCGGTACCCGAGGCCGCGGCAGCCCGTTGCGGTCCCGGGCAGTCCCGTTGCGGTCCCGGGCAGTCCCGGCCCGCCGCCGGCAGCGCCGGTTTCCCGCCGGAGCGCTTTCGGGGCCGTTGCCGTGGAAGCGGAAGCGGAAGCGGAAGCGCGGTCGGAGCGGGCCGGAAGCGGCGCGGGCGGTGCGATGGCGGGGCTGTCGGTGCGGGACCCCGCCGTGGATCGCTCCCTGCGCTCCGTGTTCGGTGAGGCCGCCCGCACGGGGAAACGGGCACCGCGCACGGGCAGGGCAGGCGGGGGCCGGCGGGTTTCACCCCTCGCCGTCGGGGCCGGTACCCGCCGCGCTGACCGGCGGCACCGTCTGTCTCCGCAGTGGGGAACATCCCGTATGAGGCCACGGAGGAGCAGTTGAAGGACATCTTCTCGGAGGTTGGGCCCGTGGTCAGCTTCAGGTGAGAGCGGCCGCAGGCCTCGCCCGGTGCCCCTGCTCGGCGCACACCGAGCCCCGCGGAGCCGGCCTGGGAACCGTGGGACCGGGAATCCTTAACGCTGGGAAAGGCCCCTGAAGCCACCCAGCCCCACCGCTCCCTCAGCACTGCCCGGCCCACCGTGCCCCCGGTGCCACACACACACCGTGCACACCGCTTCTGGCCACCCGCCGGACGGTGACTCGGCCGCTGCCCGCTGTGCTGCTTGAGAGCCGCTTTGACGAGGGAACTTGGCCCGATATCCCGTGTAAACCTCCCCGGGCCCCTCCAGGCCGCTTCCTCAAAGAGAGCAGCAGCTGCAGGGGTTGTGAGGCTGTGCCAGCTGTGCTCGGGCAGAGGGACCCGGTGGCTGTGCCAGGGTCGCCTGGAGATGGAGCACAGTGCCCTGGGCACAGCAGGTTGCCGTGGGCACGCAGCTCTGGGCTGGAGGAGCTGCCCTGCTGTGCCTGATTAGTGCTGAGGTGCCGGTCAGGCTCTGTGCTGCACACTGCCATCCCTGTGCCCCCACAGGGCACCAGGCTCTGGAGAGCTCTCCGTTCAGGTTTTGGGGAGCCGCCTGTGCCGTGTGGGGTCATGGCAGGCACACAGCTGGCACTGGTGGGCGTCCTGCCCCTGCAGCCTCGGGACCAGCCGTGCCAGGAGCCGCAGGCCCTTTGGCTTTGGCGTGGGCCGAGTGCTGCGTGCCTTGGGCTGCCCTCCCCGTGTGCCCCGGAGCTGGGCTGCCCGCAGTGCCCTCAGCAGCGGCGGTGCTCTCCTCTCGCCAGGCTGGTGTACGACAGGGAGACGGGCAAGCCCAAGGGCTATGGCTTCTGCGAGTACCAGGACCAGGAGACGGCGCTCAGCGCCATGCGCAACCTCAACGGGCGCGAGTTCAGCGGCAGGGCGCTGCGCGTGGACAACGCCGCCAGCGAGAAGAACAAGGAGGAGCTCAAGAGTGAGTCGGCCTTTGGGGTCTGCCTCAGGCCCTGGCAGTGCTGCGGGGCGGGCTGGGTCTCTTCTGCCAGGCTGGCAGAGCTGAGCTGCTCTCAGAGGTGTTGTGGGCAGTTCCCCGGAGGGATGCATGGGCTCAGCTCTGGGGTTTCACTCCCAGACGATCACAGAACCACAGGATTACTTGGGTTGGAAAAGGTTTGTAAAGATCACGGTCCAGCCTTTGACCAAACAAACTGCATCAGCTAGACTGGAGCACTAAATGCCACATCCAGTCTTTACTTAAACACTTCCAGGAACAGTGCCTCCACAGCCTCCCTAAGCAGCCTGCTCCGATACCTAATCACCCCTTCTGGGAACAAATTCCTCCCAAGGTCTCCCTGGTTTTGCTGGCTCCCTTTCCCCCGGTGGGCTGGTGCTCCCCTCCTGCTGAGCTGTTCCATGGGCTGTTCGTGTCGCAGTACCAAGTCACCAACTGTGTTGCAGGCTTGGGCACAGGTGCACCCATCATAGAGTCACCCTATGGGGACCCCGTCAACCCAGAGGATGCCCCTGAGTCCATCAGCCGGGCAGTGGCCAGCCTGCCACCCGAGCAGATGTTTGAGCTGATGAAGCAGATGAAGGTGAGTGCAGGTGCTCCCTGTGTGAGCGCAGCTCCTCCCGCCACTGCCTGCACCCTCCCAGCCGTGTCACGGCCTGTCAGAGCTCTGATCAGTGCCTGTTTTCCCAGCTGTGTGTCCAGAACAGCCCCCAGGAAGCCAGGAACATGCTGCTGCAGAACCCCCAGCTGGCTTATGCACTGCTGCAGGCCCAGGTGGTCATGAGGATCGTCGACCCAGAGATCGCGCTGGTTTGTCCCTTCTGCTCATCCGGGGCTGGAGGATACTGGTGGTGGCCTTTCTGCAGTGGCAGTGGAAATAAACTCCTTTCTCCTTCTTCCCCTAGAAAATCCTGCATCGCCAGACCAGTGTTCCTCCTCTGATCCCAGGCAACCAGCAGGCAGTGCCAGGGCCGGGGCCTGGGCCGGGGCCAGGGCCTGGGCCAGGGCCCAACGCGCAGCTGAACCCGCAGAACACCCCCTCATCCCAGCCACAGCCCATGGTAAGAGCCTGCACAGCACAGGAGCTGTGCAGGAGAAATGGGCAGTGCCAGCTCTCCCAGCTGGGGCACGTGCCCAGGTGTCGGGGTGTCCCTGACGTCCAGTGTCTCTCCGGGCAGGGCGGGATGCACGTCAACGGTGCTCCTCCTCTGATGCAGCCACCCATGCAGGGGGGAGTGCCAGCCCCAGGACAGATGGCAGCCCCTGTGCAGGGCCCAGGCCCTGGCCCCATGGCTCCAGGAGGTGAGTTTGGGCTGAGCTGCCCCACCTGTGAGCACACAGGTCCTGCAGACACCCCCTCTGCTTTCCCCCTAACCACAGCGAGAGCACGTGTAGTCCTGTACTGTACATTGTGGTTGTGCTGCTGCCAGAGGTGGGCTGCAGAGTTGGATTGTCCCTCAGGGGGAGCCAACACCAAGGGAATAAATCTCCAGATGCTCCCCGAGGAGCTGGGAGCGAGAAGGTATTTGGGACCAAAGGACCAGGTTAGTTATCAGGGATGGCTGAGGAGGGGTCTGATCTCTGCCTGTCCCCTCTCAGGTGGGATGCAGCCACAGGTTGGGATGCCGGGTGCAGGGCCTGTCCCCTTGGAGCGTGGACAAGGTAAAGCAGCCGTGTAGTGCTGTGTGTGGCGTGAGCCTCGCTGCAGTGAGCAGTGCTGTGCCCCAGCTGTCTGCAGCCTGGCTGTGCCCAGCCCAGGTTTGTTCATGAGGCACAAGGCTGTGGTAGCAGCTCCCTGTCTCCAGGGCTCAGCCCATGCCCCAGTTGGCTCCCTGCTCACTCTGCACCCTGTTGTGCAGCCCTGGAAGCCAGGAGAGCTGCCTGCCCCACCGAGCGGGATGTGTCTGTGTTTTCCGCCTCTGTGAGCCCGCGTCTCTCGCTGTGCTGGTGCGGGCAGGCAGAGCTTGCTCTTCTCTGCTCCTTGTCCTGCTCCTCCGCTGCCCGGGTGTGGGAAGCTGCCGGTCCTCCCGCGCCGGGCCCAGCAGAGGGAGCTGGGTCTCTGCTCGGGCTTGAGGCTTGGCAGGGGCTGGGCGGACTCGGCTTTCCCTCAGCAGGCACGGTCTGTACGGCCCGGCCCTGGACCCGATTCCTTACGGGTCACACCTTGCCATGCGTAGGTTAGTACAGCCCCGGCGTTCCTGTTGTCCCAGGAACAACACCTGCAGACGCCTGTCACCTCTGTTGCCTTGACTTCTAGGCCTTGTTTCAGCAACGTGCAAATCTAGTCTGAGATCCTTTGGTCTTAGGGTTAGCTGGCTCTCATTTTCTTTGGGGTGGGCACTGTCTTCCTGAAAGCTGTCTGATAGTTCTTGGCACCCAGAAGGTTTTGGAGAGCAGAGGCTGGGTGTGCGTTACGGGGCCATCGTGGCCCCCCAGAATGGCGCGTCTCTTGGCAGGATGTCTTCTCTGCCTGCCTCTGTCCCTGAGTGAGGGGAGGACCGTGCCACGCTGGCTGTCCTGCCTGTGGTGACAAAGAGGGTGTGAACGAAACAGGTTGATAAAGCCAGACTTGCAACGTTTTCTCTGTATTTTTTCCTGGGGACTTCAGGATGCGTGATCCTGCAGGCAGCACTGTCCCCAAAGCTGGTGCGTGTGTGCATACACTATTTACGTGTCTGCTCTTTCCCTCTTTTCCTGCTGCTTGCCCAGGGAACCTGCAGCTCTCGCCCGTGGGACCTGCCAGGCCTGCGTCTATCGAACGCGTTCAAGGTACCCCAGCACCAGCTCCCTCTTCCCGTGGAGCTTGTTGTGGAGTGTGCAGAGAGCAGCTCTCACCCTGCTGTTCTCAGGGCCAAGGACTGTCTGTCACTCCTTGTAGCCTGACAGCAGTCAGAGGAGATGAAGGAGGCAGGATTTCTTCTAGGGCTACAGGAGACAACAGGCTAGAACCATGCATGGAGGCCCCAGTGGAAAGGAGAGCCTGTTTGGAAAGGGCTTTTGCCTAAGATCCAGCCCCCTTTGACACTGTACTTCCAGGAGCCTGTCAGGTCTTGCTTTGCTCTTGGCCCCACGTCAGCAGGGTGTTGATGCCCACACTTGTAGGGATTGCCATGGGGGCACTCGTGCTTGGTTTGGCCCCTGGTGCCATAAGAAACCTGAAATAAAACCCGAGAAGAAAAAGAGAGGAATAAAATTGGCAGCCAGGGAAGGGGCTTTGGTGTGCTCCAGCCTCGTGTGTGGGGCTGTGTCCCCAGCAGACAGCACGGCTCAGGGGAGCAGCGTGGCTGCCCCACGCCCGGCCTGAGAGTGCCGGGGACAGTCTTGGCACGGCACTGGTCATGCAGATCCTCACGAGCTCTTGTGTGTCTCCCTGGCAGTGCCCATGCCAGACCCGAGGGCCCCTATGCAGCGTGGACCTCTACCTGCTAGTGGCCCGCCGCCCCGAGGCCTTTTGGGAGATGCCCCGAATGACCCTCGCGGAGGGACCCTGCTCTCAGTCACTGGAGAAGTGGAGCCCAGGTGAGGGGAGAGGGAAGGAGAGGAGCCCTTGGCACCGTCCCCTGCCCAAGGGTAGCCTCTCGCTGAGGACAGGGATGGCACCAGCCTTCCGGGAGTCGCTGCTGCCTGGTCGGAGCCTGTGTGCTGCCAGCCGTGGGGGCCGGCCCGTTTCCCCGGGGAAGGGACATCCCCGGGGCGATGGCAGCTGCCCTGTGGCATGGGGCCACCAGCACCCATCCCTGTGCCAGCCTCACCCTCCTCCCCTGCGGCCGGCTTCGGGGGCACTCCCAGCGCTCTGCCCAGACCGTGCCAAGCCAGTGTCTGATTCACACTCTCTCGCTTTTTCTCCTCCTCCTGCTTTGCTCTCCTCGTCTCTCTGCGTCAGAGGTTACCTTGGGCCGCCCCACCAGGGAGCCCCTATGCACCATATGCCTGGTCATGACAGCCGTGGCCCCCCCCATGAGATGAGGGGGGGACCCATGGGAGAACCCCGACCACTGATGGGAGAGCCGCGGGGGCCCTTGATGGATGCTCGAGGTGAGAGAGGGGGCATGAAATACTGGGTGGCTTGGACTGTGCAGGCAAGAAGTCAGAGCAGAGCCGGCTGCCCCGACCCAAGGCGTAGGAAGGGGGTTTGGGCAGTGAAATGACTGACTCCAGGCGAGGAGGGACACTCCCAGGGTGCAAGGGACTTTCTCCAGGCATGTCCCCTCTGCCCCCAGCCCTGAGTTCTCGGGTGCTCGCTGGCCCCCAGACGGAGGCGGCGGCAGGCTCGCTCCCACGCTCCTTGCAGCGCCGCTTCCTTCAGGAGCTCACCTTGTGTTTCCTCCGCAGTTGGAAGAGATCCCCGAGGGCTGGAGCCACGAGGGCTGGAGCCGCGCGGGCTGGAGCCGCGGGTGCTGGAGGCGCGAGCGCTGGAGGCGCGGGGCCTGGAGCCGCGGGTGCTGGAGCCACGGGTGCTGGAAGCCAGGGCCATGGAGGCCAGGGGCCTGGAGCCCCGGGGGCTGGAGCCTCGAGGGCCCGGTCCCAACCCGCGGGGCCCGATGCCTGGTGGGATACAGGGTCCTGGGCCGCTTAACATGGGAGCCAGCGGCCCGCAGGGGCCCCGCCAGGTACACACGGCTCTGCTCGGCGTCCTGTAGGCTGGGGCTGGCTGGGGGGTGTCCCACAGAGCAGCAGCTCTGGGAAGCACCAGGCTTTGGGCACTAGCTCTGAGGGGTCAGGGCATCTGTCCCATTTCCCCAGGCACTGCCCATCAGCTGGGGACAGGACAAGGCTCAGGCCTCTCCCCACCTCTTCTGAGACACAGAAAGGAGCACAGGAGTTGGGAGGGGAGAGCACATAAAATGCACTATCTCTTCATGCTCAGGCATCTTCAGTCATCCATCTGACCATCTGTTTTACCTTCCTGAGTTTGTATCGCTCTGTCTGGAAACTCCCCAGTCCCTAACCCCTCTCTTACTCCCCCAGGTTCCTAACATGGCTGGGGCAGGCATGCAGGGAGGAGGCATACCTGGGGCAGGAGTCCAAGGGGCTGGTCAGCCTGGAGGCTTTAGCCCTGGACAGAGCCAGGTCACGCCCCAGGACCACGAGAAGGTGAGAGAACAAAAGGGAAAGGGTGAGACAGTAGGAGCAACACTTCCTGTAGCCTTTCTGTGGCGGGGTCAGCCCCTCCCTAGCTCTGGTACGCTGTGGCTGCTCTGAGAGGGCACATCTCTGACCCCTCTTTCCCCACAGGCAGCACTGATCATGCAGGTCCTGCAGCTGACAGCAGACCAGATCGCCATGCTGCCCCCAGAACAGCGGCAGAGCATCCTCATTCTGAAGGAGCAAATCCAGAAATCCACGGGGGCACCCTGACAGGTGATGTCCTTAACCTGCTCTCACCCTGCGCCTGTTCCCCTCCAGCAAAGCAGAGCTGCCCAGGATGGGACTCTGCCCTGCTTCCCTCCGTGCTGAGCTCACCCTCCTCTCCTTTCTGGCAGGCACAAGATGGAGATGCCTTGTGCCTGGACAGAGGTGGTGCTCCATGGCAGCTGCTTCCCATTGCTACCTGAGCTGATGGTGCATTTTAGCAGAGGTTATGTCACTCTCGAGGTTTTTCCCTCCAGTTCATCCTTTTTTTTTGTTTGTCTGGTTTTTTTTTTTGTGTATGTTTTATGGTGTTTGAAATAAAGTGGGAGGAGGGTTTGAGTAAATCCATGTCCCTGGCTGCCTTGTTTGGTCTCTCTTGGAGGCCAGAGTGGAGTGTTGTGTTCTGAGGGCAGTGTGGCCTGCCTCCAGTCTTATCTGAACCACTTGCCACCCTCCCTCCTCCCCACTCAGGGCAAGAACTAATCATGGAATTTCTTGTGCCGTGCTGTTTACAGGGGTCTAGGGGAAGGGCAGGACAGAGAGCTTGGCTTTCTATTCCTGCTGGGCAGGCAGGAAGGGCTCTGGATCCAATTGCAGTATCAGTTATCACGCCAGCCTGCTCAGGGAGCGGGGTTTCCCTCTGCGCATGCTGGAGCAGAACCTGGTGGGAGCTGCAGTGGGAGCAGAGCTGTGAGCTGGGTGCAGGCTGGCTCTGGGGTGCCAGGGTGGCAGCGAGCCCGTGCAGAGGGGTGTCTGATCCTGCAGCCCAGAAGATTTGCTATCAACCAGCTCTTCTATTGCAGCCCTGCAAGGGCAGAGCATGGGCTCCTTTGTACCTGCACAGCTGGGTCACCACGGGGCTTTCATTACAAAGAAAAGGAAGTTTAGTTTATTCTTACACAAAAGAATGTGTAAACCCTGAGGGGCATATTTGGCCCCTGTCACCTGCATGGATGCCCACGTCCCATCCCCATCCAGCGGTTCTGCCCAACCCACTGGGCTCCCACTGCTTCCCACTGCTCCAGCAGCATCAGGGAACGTGGCTCTGGTTTCCCAGTGAGGGGGCTGCGTGGAGCTACAGGCCCACTTGCTCCATGAGATCCTTGTGCAGCAGGACAGGCAGGCAGCAGTCTTTGAACCTGGGATTTCGCATGCAGAGGGGAACCTTGCTGTGTCCTGCTTGGCTTCAGTGCATGCAGGGATGCTTATCCCTGGCCTTGCTTTGGAAAGGCTCGAGGCAGTACAGGCAGGGTCCCTGCCTGCTGGGGCGCCAGCCTCGCTGCCACTTAAAAGTTTTCCTTGTTGAAGTAGAATTTGACCTTCCTGGGGTCCAGGCTGGAGTGCTGGTGACAAGACTTCTGCAGGCTCTTTGCCAGGGCCTCTGGCCCACAGAGGAACACACCGACCACTGACCTGCAAAGAGCAGGGGCATGTCAATGCCAGGTGGGCAACTCGGGGAAAAGGGATTTAAAGATTTCCGGGCTCCCTGCCCGGGATAGCACACCTCTCCCAAAGCCAGCCCAGTGCTGAGTGCCAGGGTAGAGGGCATGCCTCTGACTCCAGCATCTGAATTCCATGCTCAGCTCTCACCTGGGGTGGGCTGCAGCCACCGCTGCAAACTCCGTGTTCCACATGGGCCGCCCGAAGATGGTTTTGTGCCTGAGGCCTGTCACTGTGTCCGTAGCGGTGTCGAAGCGCAGCGCCACGTTGTTGGCCTGGGCAGGCAGGGATGGTGAGAGCCCCAGGCACCCCCCGTGAGCCCCCCCAGTCCCTCACCACAGAGGAGCATCCATTGTTGGTCCCACCAAACCCTCTGCCTGGACTTAGTGCCTAAAAGCCGTTGTCATGCTCGCCCTGCCCGTGCTGGCTTGGCCGCCCCGTGTGCCCCTGTTGCAGCCGTGCCAGCCTGTGCTTGACTCACAATGTTGGTGTCCCAGCCAGTGAGGAAGAGGCGGTAGGTGAGGAAGTCTGCCTTGCCCGACTCAGCCATCTTCTGCTCCAGTGAGGCAAGCAGGTCGTTGAACCAGGCAAAGGCTCCTGTGTCCCGGCAGAGCCAGTAGAAGTAGATCTGGGATGCAGGGGCAGAGGGATGCTCAAGGTGGAGCAGAGCCAGGGGAAGAAACCCACAGCTGGTCCCGTGGGACACTCTGTACCTTCTTGGTCTTGAGGGTCTGGTCAGCCTGCTGGAACTTGTACCAGATGGACTTGAGGATGGAGGCGAAGGGCGTGACGCCGATGCCCGCTCCAACCAGCATGGCCACCTCATACTGGAACACGTCTTCGCTGGCCGTGCCAAAGGGACCGTCCACCTTGACCCTGGCCAAAGCAGGGCCCGGGTGAGAGGTACGGCCTCCCCACATCCCTGGCATGGCCTGTTGGGTGCTCCCCAGCCTACCTGGGTGTTTCCAGCTGGAAGGTGTTGATGAGACGCTCTGTCCAGTCGCCAGCTGCCCGGACATGGATGGAGAAGAAGTCCTCCTCGGGTGCAGAGGTGAGGGTGAAGGGGTGCCACTCCAGCGAGGAGATGGTGGGGCAGTTGATGAAGATGTACTGCCCCACCTCCATGCAGAAGCCCTTCTTCTGCATCTGCAGCTCCAGCACGCGGGCAGGGTGCATGACCACCTGGGGGCAGGGGCAGGGCTCAGCGCCCAGCTGGCCCCTGTCCCGAGGAAGGGGCTGTGCCCCTGGGCCCTGCCTGCCTCCCCACGGCCACCACGGCGAGGGGCTGTGGCACCGGTGACCCCAAGGATAGGAGCTGGCAGAGGAACAGGCCCTGCAGCACCCACCTTGGTGACAAGCACCTTCTGCTGCGCACGCCAGACCCGCAGGATCCGCTCAAAGACATAGAGGACGATGGGGGCGAGAACCCACTTCCAGGACTGTGAAGATGGAGGAGAGCAAGGATTGAGCAGGGCCAGAGTGTCCCAGAGCGTCCTTCTCCCCCAGAGCCGTGCCACCACTGCCCTACCTCGGCAGGGATGCTCCCGAACTCGGGGTCTTTGCAGCAGCTGTGGGTGCAGTTCTGCCCCCGCTGTGTGAGGTACTCGGCGCAGTGGTAGGGGTGCACCTCTGCCATGCTCTGCTCCGTCTGCCCACGCACCAGCCCGCTGCAGGGAGGTGAGGCATGAGCCCAGGGCCAGCTTCTGCTCCCGCCGGGGCTGAGCCACGCTGCGGGAGGCCAGCTGGGCCAGCCCGCCCTGGCCACGGCAGTCACAGCCCCAGTGTCCCCACAGCTGCCCCGCCAGGGCTCTGTGTGCCCTGCCCCTCGCTGCCCTGCCCTGGGCAGCCGTGAGGAGCCTTACGCGATGCCGTGGATGACGAGGCCGGCGAAGTAGACGAGGAAGAGGTGGTGAGTGTACCAGAAGAGCTCAAAGTAGTTCCTGCGGATGAACTCGGTGGAGGACGTGACCATGAGGATGAGTGCCAGCGTGATGATCACCCCCGTCAGCCCCGGGATGGTCGTGAAAGCCACGTACTCGACGGTCTGCAGGGGCAGCAGGGTGGGTTAGGGGAGCAGGGCACAGGTGGTGGCGGCTCTGGGTGCCAAGGCCACGCTCACCGTCTGGTTGGAGTGGATGGGGTTCAGCCACTTGCTGCCCTGCAGGTGCACCTTGGAGAGGACAGCGGGGAGGCTGCCGTCGGTGGCTTGTTGGCTCTGGTTGTAGCGCTCCAGGTTGAAGAGGTGGGCGATGGTGTGCACAGCTGGGCAGGGGACGGGCAGTCACCCACCGGGCAGCTGCCGGTCCCCACTGGTGCCCCATCCCAGGCAGGGGGTACCTGTCAGCAGGGCCAGTGCGTAGGCCACCAGCTTGTGGAAGGTGAGGTTGTGGTCCAGCTGCTTCCGCAAGGTCCGCCTGCAGCACTGCCGGGAGAGGCAGCGGTGTCAGGAGGGGACAGGGCTGGGACGGCCACGCTGGCTGTGCCACCACGGACACTCACCGAGCAGGTGCCCCGGAGGAAGGAGAGCAGGTTGCGGCACACGGGCAGCAGGATCAGCATGCTGTTGAAGTTGAGGCACTTGGCTGACGCTCGAGCCCATGCCAACGAGGACTGGGGAGGAGAGAGGGGTGAGCACCACTGGCCTGTCGTGCTGGGCCAGGACTGGGGCAGGATGGGGCCGGTCAGTGCTGAGCTAGGCTGGGAACTGGGATGGAGAGATGCTGGGCTGGCATGGGGACTGGGAGGGATGCCAGGAGAGGACTAGGGGCGGGAGATGCTGGGCTGGGCTGGGATGCTGTTGGGCTGAGACCAGACAGGGATCAAGACACGGACTAGCATGGTGCAATGCCAGAGCACAGAGCGGGATGGAATGATGGGGGGCTGGAAGAGAACAGAACATGGAAGGGGCGTGGGGTGCTGCAGCCCCCACCCCACTGCAGCAGGGCCCCGAGGGGCTCGTCTGCCTGGGCAGGCGGGGTGCCCTGGGGAGCACCTTACCCCGAGGATGGCCCTGGTGTAGAAATACCGCTCGTCCCGGTCAAAGAACAGAAAGTAGTAGGTGAAGAGGAAGATGTTGATGCCCAGCCAGGCTGCCTGTGGGGGAAAGTCACAGCCTGGTGATTCCCTGTCCCGGGAGTGTCTCCCACTGCAGCAGTCAGGCTGGGTGCAGGCAGAGGTGTCAGGACACACAGCATATCCGCTTCCTTGGGTGCTGCCCTGTCACGCACAGGGCTGGGACACAGGGTCAAAGGTGGGGACAGCTGTGGGAGCCTTGCACACCTGCTGTCTCGTCACACACTGCCCTGTGCATCACCCGTGCATGAGGAAGGAGGAAAGGCAGGAGCAGGCAACACCCACGTAACGGCAAAGGCAGATCTGGGTGGTCAGGACTGTGTGGGAAAGATTCTGGGACAAGGAAGTTTCACAGGGAGCTGGTGCACCTGGTCCCACTGTGCTGCTGTCCCCTGCCTAACCCCACTGCAGCCCACACTGCCGCCTCTCACAGCCACTGAATTTTTGCAGAGGTCCCAAAAAAACCACCCTGCTATGTATTTGGTTTTTGTCTGTTTTCTTTTTCTTTTTTAAGTAACTTAAAAAATTAAAATATCCCAACTGTCAGTAAACCCCCATGTTCCCAAGCATTCACAGCTCCTCACACAGTGCTGAGCAGCTGATGGGTGCTGGCCAGGCAAGCTCTGTTACACCAGAGATGCTGCAGCACGGCACTGGCAGATGGTCCCTATGGTGCCAGCTCCTCACCCTGCCAGGCTTCCCACAGGATCCTCCTCCTCTCACAGGGGGAGAAGAGGCACGTGGGAGGCTCCCAGCCAAAGTGGCCAGGCAAAGCAGCAGCATTTTTTAAATGTCCAGGACCCCCTTTCCCGTGAGCTGTGTTTTCCCCAAGACTTTTCCAGAGCCCATCCCTCCCCTGGCCGCCGGCGTGTGCGTGTTGGCGAGCAGAGGGGATGCTCGTGTCTCCCCACAGCCCAGCCCAGGACAGCTCATGGGTCCCCATCTCCCCGCTGAGCCCCTGAGCCCCCGTGCCCGGCGCCCCGCTGTGCCCCCAGCCCCGCACACTCACCAGGATGGTGGTTGAGACCCAGTGGTTGACCAGGCAGCTGCCCATGGTGCCCGTGCCAGCACTGTGCCCGCCCGGCGCTTTATGCAGGGCGCTGCGAGCGGCCCGGCCCGGGAACGGGACTTTCCCCTGAGGAGACTTTGAGGAAATGCCGCTGCTTTCAAAGGCCACCTTCCAGGAAGGCAGGGCTGACCCAACCAGCCAACACCGAAACGGGCCCCTTGTGCTGGCCAGGGATGGTCCCCCCCGAGAGATCCCCCCCGAGAGATCCCCGTGGCCCCACGGCTGGGTCACACAGGGTGTCTGCCTGCTCCTCCGGGGGTTTTGCAACCTCTGAGGACAAAAAAGCGCTTTTTTTGTAAGGCAGGAATGTCCTGGAAGAAGTTGCGGAGGACCCAACCTGGCTCAACAGCTCAGTTTTCCCTGGCCCCCCTCACTGCCCGTTTTGCAGGGAAACCACCAGAGGAACAGAAGCATCCACAGCGCTGTGCCAGGATCCAGCCCGGGCATCCATTACAGGCTGGGTGATTTAAGACCGAGCACCCAGGGCTGTACCCAGGGCTGATGAGCATCCTCAGCCCAGCACCCGAACTGAGCTGACCCCAAAATTGGGTGCTGGGGTGGGGGTGTCACACTCCTGGTTTGGGGCCAGGATGTCTGGGTCCCATCAGCACCCACTGCCACTGCTGTGCCAGCCACCCTTCCCTTCCTGCCTGCCCCCACTGCCGGACCCTGAGCCCTGGGGTGTGCAGTGCTCCAGCTGGGAGCAGCAGCCTGTTCTGGGCCCCTGAGCCTGGAGGAACAGGTCAGACAGGCTTGCTCCTTGCTGGCATGCTGCTCTCTCCTGGCCTGCAGCCATGGCCGTGCTGACGGAAGCACAGGATGAGGCCAGCCCCGATCCTCCATGCTGCTGCACCTTATCAGCTCCACCGAGGGGCTCCCCCATGCCCACTTCCCGCTGGCACAGCCCCGTTTCGGTGCCTGTAAAGGGGAGTTTTCCGTGGGCAGCAGGTGTGTGCAGCCCGGTGCCGGGTCCCCACCCTCGCGTGAGTCACTGCCAGCACCCAGACGCGCAGCACAGCAAAGTTTCTTTACTGCTTAGAACAGTCCCATGGCACCCACGGCCCGAGGTCACTGTATGCACCACAGCAGCAGGTGGGGTGTCGGGGCACCCCAAGGGCTGTGCACCGTGTGGCAGCCAGCTTGTGGGGCAAATGTTGGGGCACCCCATAAGCTGTAGAACTGTAGAGTCATAGAATAGTTTGGGTTGGAAGGGACCTCTAAAGGCCATCTAGTTACACTCCAGAGATGGGCACGGACATCTTCAACTAGGCCAGGTTGCTCAGAGCCCATCCAACCTGGCCTTGAATGTTTTCAGGGACGGGACATTCACCATTTCTCTGGGAAACATGTGCCAGTCCCTCACCACTCTCATTACAAAAAACTTCCTTATGTCCAATCCAAATCAACCCTCCTTCACGTTCATGTGAATGGTCCTGAGCAGGCAAGCACACTCCTGTCCCCCTGTCCCCGCGGGGATGCGCTGGGACCTGCTGCCCCTGCAGGACCAGGCAGAACTCGGCCCGTGCCAGGAGCATCCCCCGGCTGTGTGCAGCCCTGTGCTGCCCATGCCGTGTCCGTCGCTGCCTGGAGGAGCCGGGCCGGGGGCTCAGACGATGCTGTGCCTCACGCCGGGCTCCAGGGGTGCCTGGAGGCACAGCGGGGTCCCGGGCGGGCGCCGGCGGCAGCAGACGCAGTGCAGGAAATCAGCCACGTTGTGGTGGAAGAGCTGGCGGCAGGGGTGCAGGTACTGGAAGAAGAGCAGCATGAAGTAGATGCCCAGGCAGTAGCCGAGGAGCAGCTGCAGCACCAGCAGCGCCGTGCAGACGTTCTCATAGACGTCGGTCTTGAAGAAGTACCAGAGGATGACGAGGGCCGTGTTCTCCGCCAGCCGGGCCACGTAGTACACGGCCAGGCGGCCCCAGTTCTGCGACTTGTCGATGAGGTCCCGGTCGGCCAGCTTCAGCTGCACAGCCGACCAGCAGAACATGTTGATGCTGGAGTAGAGGAGGGTGAAGGCACAGAGCACCACCACCGTGCCCAGGCGGCTGAAGTTCTTCTCGACGTTGTCGGGCAGGCGGCTGCCGCTGCGCCAGAACTGCACCCAGGGCAGGAAGAAGACCACCAGGAGGTTGGCCAGGGCGATGGGGATGATCCAGTGCTTGAAGACGGTGCTGAAGAGCACGAGGACGGCGATGCGGGTGGAGATCTCCAGGCTGCGCCACAGCACGATGCAGAGGAAGGCCAGCGGCCGCAGCTGCACCTTGTAGTCATCGTACTTGACCTGGATGGCCAGGATGTTGCAGACCAGCGCCCCGTAGGTGACCGACACCAGGCAGACGGCCATGAGGACGGCTGCAGAGGGAGAGCGGGGCAGTCAGGCAGCGTAGCAGACCTGGCTCTGTCCAGCGTCTCCGCTGCCTGGGGTGCAAAGGGTGGGGTGACACTCCAGGTGGGAAACCTGGGTGCCAGTCCTGGGTGGGCAGAACAGGGTGCCAAAGCCCCGGGCTCACAGCAGAGGGCTCAGCATGAGCACTGCCGGAACAGCTCATGGATGGTGGTGACAGTCCCCGTGATGAGGTGGCTGTGGGGGAAGCTGCTGGCAGCAGGAGGCTCAGGACCCAAAGGTTCTCCCTACACCAATGCCTTGGCCAAATGGAGCCATTTCTGCAGTAGGGCCGTGCCCCAGCCCCCCTGCCCTGTGCAGGAAATGCTACTCAAGGGTAAGCAGGGCACAGTCAGTGCTGCGAGGGCCCCTCTGCCTTCATCCCAGCCAAGAGCTGCACCACCGTAGCCCCAGAGGCATCCCAAGAGCCAGCCCCATCTGAGGGCTGCAAAGCCAAGGTCATTTGTAGGGAATGCCTCAGCTGCTCACGTTCAGCACAGCCAGGAATAGCATGGAGACAAACAGAAGAGTGCAGCTGGTCCCATCCATGGTGGCTGCCAGCTGCAGGGCTGAGCTGACACTCCAGCTGCGAGGGAATCACCCAAAACACATCATTTGGTATTTACTTCCTGCATCTACTGCTAGAGCAGCACTGGCACTCATTCTTCCTGTGCGTCTGCAACTCCCCAAAATGCCTTTGCAGAGGGCTGTGGCAAATTCGGGGGTTTCTATGGGGCATCTCCTGTGCTTTCCCTTTCATGCACCTGCTGTGGGCACAGGTGACAAGGTCTGGGCTCCCAGCACTGCTGGGAGTGTGGGTGGGTGAGGGCAGCTCCTGCATCCAGCGCTGTAATTGGAATGGTGCAGGAGCACACCTGCGTGCCCAGCTCGGTGCCAAAATGGGAGTTAAAAGTTTGCTCTGGCATATCCACCCCCAAGCACATAAACATCCTGGGAGCAGGCAAAGGAGCCTCGGAGTGGGAGTGCTGGGCTGGAGCTCTGCTGTTGGAAAATGTGCAGAAATAGACACAGTGGGGGACTCGAGGGAAGCCAGAGCCTGTAGCTAGATGGAAAAAATTAACGGGGACTGGAGCAGGCTAGGGCAGGGACCTGACCCTCCTATGAGACATGGCACTGGGTGGATGGCTTGGTTCTGGAGGGCAGATATGAGCACGGGGCTGGGAGCAGAGCCTGGCACCTCTGGCACGCCTGCTCTTTCCCATTTGCAGAGCTGCTGAGTGCCCAACTCCTGTGGGTTGCGCTCCACATTTAGGGCAGTCCAGTGGAAGCCGTGTCCCTGGGAAGGACTTTTTGGATCGCCTGGATGGCACATCAGCAGCAGCAGCTGAGGAGCTGCCAGGGAGCCCCGGTGGGGTTCCTGGGGAGCCCACGTGCCCTTACCTCGGGCGACAGGGACGTACTTCTCCAAGACGCTGATGTAGAGCTGGAGGGTGAGCTGCGGGGTGGAGCCCAGGAAGGCCTGGATGACGGCCATGCGCTTGAAGGCGTTGCGGTGCGTGGCCAGGCGGCGCTCCGAGTGACCCACCTCCTGCTCCATCTCCACCTCGAAGCCTTTCCGCAGCCGCCGCTTGCGGGTGATGGTCACGTAGGGCTCCTCCTCCCGCCCCGACCAGCAGTACACCACCAGGGCCTCCACACACCTGTGGGGACACGGGAGCTGTCACCCTGCTGTCCCCTGCCAGCCCCACCCGGCCTGGTGCTGACCCGCTCCCGCTGAGGGCAGCCCCAGCGTTCGGGCAGTGCCCAGCAGAGCTGCGGGCACCCCCTGACTGCTCCCAGCAGCACCGTGGGGATGCCCCGGGGCTGCTCCTCTGCCCCAGCCCTCGGTCAATCATGGGGAGCAGGGGCCAACAGCTGCTCCAGCGAGGGTGAAACGGCTGCTGGAAGAGGTGAGCGGCTCTGCTGGGAGCTGCAGCTACAGGAAGGTGTTAATCGCCCTTGGGATCTGTTTTCCCAGCTAGCAAAAACCTCTTCCTCTAAGCAGAGGCAGAAGAAAGTCTGAAATATCAGAGTAGAACATCAGAGTCGTCTTTGATCTCTCATGTTGAGCAGAAGAAGGCTTCCACGCTTCCTCCCTGCTGGGGACGGCAGGAAGGAGGGCGCAGGGTGAAGCCGTGTGTGGCACGGGCAGATAAGGCAGCGCTTCCGCAGCCCCTTCTCTGCAGGGCAGGGCTGTGCCTTTCTGCCGGGCCTGCAGGGACAGGGGCACCCCCAAAACCCTCCACACACACAGAGCCACGGGGTGGGTGTGCGTGGCCAGGGGGATCTCCTTGGCTCCTGCCTGGGGACAGCTGGCTCTGCAACCAACAGGACATCATTATTTATGAGCGCTTATCAGGACAGCACAAATTGCTGAGTATCAAACCCAAAGGGAGGGAGGGTTTAGGATAAATTCTCTGGGCTGATCAAGCCAGCACTCATGGCTCATTGCAAACTCTAATGGGAAAACAGCTTCACCCCAAAGGCCCAGCTTGAAGGGTAGTCCCAGGTGGCTCCCAGTGCCCTGCCAGACCTTCTCAGCAGGCTGGGCTCCAGCTCCAGCCCGAGCAGCCGGCTGGAGCAGCCCTCCCCGGGCATCCCCGACCAGCTCTTGCAGCAGTGGGCAGCACCGGCCCCATCTCAGACAGCCTCGGTTGGTGTGCTGAGAGCCACAGCGTCCTGTGGGCCAGCACAGCCTGGCAGCACCGAGGCAGGGCCCCAGGTGGCTCTGAAGTTAAGACATGGTGACGGGGACACATCTGGCTCACTGTTTATTCCCAGTGAGAGAGGAAGTGCGGAGCAGCCAGGGTGGTTTTGGAGCCCTGTGGGTAGAACAGCCCAAAGCGTGGCTGCTGGCCTGCCCGAGCCCAAAGCATGGCTGCTGGCCTGCCCGTGGGAAGGAGCCCCACGGAGGTGGTGCTGTGCCATGCCTCCTGCCTGTGTTCTCATGGAGCAGGCTGCCCGGGGTGATGACAGCCGGGGAGGCACCGCAGCATTCCCAAGGAATGAGGGATCAGCTTGTGCAACATCCACCCACCCCCTCACTGTCCTCTTCCCAGCACAGCCCAGTGGCCCCACAGTTCCCATGCCAGCCCCACTCCTGCACCTAGCTCTTCTCCATATCCCATAACTACCACTGAGTGCTGCTCCTGACCCTATGCAGGACACCCCAAAATCCCACTGTGTGCCCAAGAGCATTGTCCAAACGTTTGCTGAACGCAGGCAGGCCAGGTGCTGTGACCCCTTCCCTGGGGAGCCTGTTTCAGAGCTCCACCACCTCTGTTTTCAGAGCTCCACCACCTCTGTGTTCAGAGCTCCACCACCTCTGTTTTCAGAGCTCCACCACCCTCTCTCTGGGCGTAAAACCTTTTCCTGACATCCAATCTAAACCTCCCCTGATCATCTCCATGCCGTGTCAGTATTCACCCACCGGGGATTCCCCCTGTGCTCCCAGCACAAGCCCAACCAAATCCTGGCGAAACCAAGAGGCGGAGTGACTCGCTGGCTGTCCCCCAGAGCCGGAGCAGAGCTTTCCCAGCAGCGGGGACGCAGCAGGCTGGCAGAGCCGGGGCACAGCAGCGGGGACACAGCAGGCTGGCAGAGCCTGGAGGGGGCCCGGGAGCAGCAGCGGCGGGGAGGAGGGACGGAACCGGCAGGAGCAGCTCTGGGCAGATGGCCACGGCCACACGGTCCCGGGTGCCCGTCCTGCCCGGCGCCGCTCCTGCTCTCACCCGGTGCCCGCGGGCCTGCCGGGCTCTGCGCATTGGTGCCGGGGGTGCTCGGGGGTACCGGGGGGTGCCGGGGGGTTTCCGGAGGTGCCCGGGGGTTCCCGGGATGCCCGGGGGTGCCGGGGGGTGCCCGGGGATGCCCGGAGGTGCCCGGGTGTGCCCGGGGGTGCCCGGGGGTACCGGGGGGTGCCGGGGGTGCCCGGGGATGCCCGGGGGTACCGGGGGGTGCCGGGGGGTTTCCGGAGGTGCCCGGGGGTGCCCGGGGGTACCGGGGGGTGCCGGGGGTGCCCGGGGGGTGCCCGGGGGTGCCCGGGGGTACCGGGGGGTTTCCGGAAGTGCCCGGGGGTGCCCGGGGATGCCCGGGGATGCCCGGGGGTACCGGGGGGTGCCGGGGGGTTTCCGAAGATGCCCGGGGATGCCCGGGGGTACCGGGGTCCCCGCCGCGCTCACCTGATGACGGGCCCGAGCTGCAGCAGGTGCATGAGCAGGACGAGCGGGCGGTCGCGGCTGAGGTCGCGGTGCACGAAGATGAGGGTGAGCTGCACCAGCACGGAGGGGCAGAGCACGAAGAAGACGGTGAGCGCCAGCCAGAAGCGGTCGTCGGAGTGGCCGTAGGAGAGGCAGAGCACGGCGGCCGCCGCGCCCTCCCCGCAGAAGAGCGCCGTCGAGAAGACGATGCCGAGCGGCAGCCTGGCCCGCGACGGGGCGGCGGCGGGCGGGCAGCCCCCGCTCGGCCCGTCCATGGCGGCCCCGGCCCGGCCCGGCCCGGCCCGGCCGCTCAGCCCCGCCGCGCCGCCATCCCGGGCTGCACGGAGAGAGGAGCCGCGCTGCGGGGCGGAACGGGGCGGGGCGGGGCTGCCCCGCCGCACCGAGCCCCGACGGGCGGCCCCGCACGGCCCCGCACGGCCCCGGTCCCCCCGAGCCCCGCACCGCCCCAGCCCCGCACGGCTCCGCACGGCCCCGCACCGCCCCGGTCCCCCCGAGCCCCGCACGGCCCCGCACGGCCCCGCACGGTCCCGGTACCGTCCCGGCCCCCCCGAGCCCCGCACAGCCCCGCACGGCCCCGGCACCACCCCGGGCCCCCCGGCTCCCCCGAGCCCCGCACCACCCCGCACCGCCCCGGCCCCGCCGAGCCCCGCACGGCCCCGCACGGCTCCGCATGGCCCCGGTGCCGCCCCGGCCCCCCCGAGCCCCGCACCGCCCCGGCCCCGCACGGCCCCCCCGAGCCCCGCACGGCCCCGCACAGCCCCGGCCCCTCGGCCCGGCCCCACCGCGTCCATCTCCCCCAGCCCGGGACCCCCGGCTCCCGGTGCCGCATCCCTGCCCCGGCCATCACCCTCCTGCTCCGGGACCCCCTCGCTGCCCCGTCCTGGTCCCCTCCAGGTGTGGCGAGCCCTGCCCCAGGACAGCCCCACCTGCACCTCTGCCCCAAAACCCCTATCTGGGACCGGGACCTTCTGTGGAGGACTCCCCATCTCTGCAGGGAAGCGCCTCCCCGGGGTGGCCGGGACCCACGGCCCAGAGCCCCCCAGCACCCACCTTGGGTCCCCCTTCCCAGTCACGGTGCAGACAATCCCTGTCCTACCCCTCGGCTGTGCCCTCGGGACTTTGGGGCTCTCCCCAGGACCCCCCGTCAATCAAAGCCAAATCAATTCCTGGCAGTTCCAACACCCCGAGGTGCAGCAGCACATGGAGGGTCCTGCCAGGGGAGATTTGTTAGGTAGCCCCAGGGACACTGGCGTCCCAGTGCGGGACAGGAAGGATGCCAGTGGGGGTGCCAGCCCTGCCTGAATCAGAGAGCTGCCAGAGAGCTGCCTGCACCCGCCAGCACCTCAGATCCGGGGCCTGACCCCAGCTCCAGACCCAGAAATGGCACCACACGGTCCTGCGCTCCAAGGGCAGCGCGTGGGAGGGAGGGTGTTGTCAGGGCAAGGAGCATTTTGGTATCTTGCACGACAAGCTATGTCAGGGACACCCTTTGGGTCCCCCAGTGCCTGGTGTGTGTGTTGAGATTTGGGAACGTTGTTACACGGGAGATGATGTGTCTCCTGTATCTTGCATTTCCTGCCTCCACCCGTGACCTTGTGCTTTCCCATCACCTTCAAGGACCTGCCCTGGAGATAATGGGATGTGTGGGCTCGCTGACAGAGGCAAAGCTCCCGGCGCTCAGCCCCCTCCCTCTGTCTGTCCCACCTTGGTCACCCACCCAGGGTGGGAACACGAGGCTGGGCTGCCCCACCTCCGTGGCCATGGGGGTCCCTGCTGTGCCCCCAGCAGCAGCCGTGCCCACCTCTCGCCAGGAGCGCTGGTGAGGGCACAGGGGGATGAGCACACGCTGTGCTCCCTGAGCACCCACAGCCTGCCAGTCCCCCAGTCCAGCCTGGGCACACGCTGCCTGCCAGGGACACCTGGGACAAGGCAAAGAGTGTCTGACATTGTCCATTTTCCCCACTTTAGGCAGACCAGGAATTTTTAGATAACTTGTAAAAGGCTCTCAGTGCTCAGCCCTTGACAGCCAGGCCAGTCACAAGGAGGTGCCCACGTTAGCAACAGAGACACTTCCACGCACCTGCCTCACACCAGCAAAAGCACAAAACTCCCAAAGCACACGCACAGGAGGTTTCCCCATTTCACCAGGCTGGAAGCATTACCAGGGCTATCAGGCTTATCAGGCTGAGAATAAAACTGCCTGAGACTTTGGAGGCCATAGCTCCCCCAGCAACAGCTCCCACACAGAAGCAATCCCTGTCCCTGCAGCTGCTCAGAGCTTCTACTCCCAAGCTGAACAGCTGCTCTGGGAAACCACAACCCCATGAGCTCATGGGGACTGGCCTGACTGGTGGGGACAGGAGATCTGTGTGTGACCCCTCAGCTCTGCTATGACAGTTACATATTTTCAAGGCATTTTTGGAAAACAGCCTCTCCAAATAAACCCTCTGGCAGGGCAGAGGGTGCAGGCAGCAGCGTCCAGGCCGACTGGCGATGGTGACCAGCTGGGGTGGGAGCTGTGCACGGGAGCTGTGCCTGGCTGGCTGCTGAGCCAGTGACAACACATCCTGTGGCACTGCCAACTGTACCCACAGCTCTGTATGAGCAGCAAGAGCAGTGTGCCATTTGTACCATTTATGCAACTTCCACTTATCCTAATTAAAAGCATTCCCCAGGAGTCTGGCAGGTCACCAAACCCTCAGCTGAGCAATGGCTGGGCTTCAACTCATCATATTTTTAATTTCAGCTTCCCCTGCTTCGTGATGAAATACTTAAGAGGAACTGTCTAAGCAAGCAAGAATTCCAGTCCTGTATCCGTAAGCCCCAGCAGCCATCAGAAGGAATGGAGAGACAAAGCCTCACAGCATTTTGCACACCAGTTATTATCCCATTTTCTGTCCCAAGCACGGAGCAGCAGGAGCTGTTCATGCTGCGAGTCACCTCTGCAGCCTGACCCCTCCTGTCCTGTGCGCTGTAAACAGCAGACAGGCCATAAAATGCTGTGGGTCACAGATAGCATCAGCCAGAGCTCCTGTCCCAGTGCCCTGCCACTCCCTGTCCCTGCCAGCCCCACGGCCACACCTCTGCCTGCCCGCCCAGCCCAGCTGGGGCTGCACAGACACCCGGGGCCGCCCCTGCCCCCAGAAACTGCCTGGAGCAGCGCTGCCCCGGGCAGCAGGGCCGGGCCGGGCGCTGGGACCCCCTCCCCAGGGGTGCCCCTCCACAGGCTGCACTCCGGACCGGCAGAGCCCGTGGCTGCTGCTGCCCCTCACTCTGGAACCTGCCAGAAACAGAACGGCCCCTGGGGGTGGCACGGAACCACAGAATCACGGAATCACAGAATCATGGAATCAGGGAATCATGGAATCAGGGAATCAGGGAATCAGGGAATCAGGGAATCACAGAATCACGGAATCAGGGAATCACGGGATCACAGAATCACAGGGTCACGGAATCATGGAATCATGGAATCATGGAATCAGGTAATCACAAAATCATGGAACCACAGAATCACAGAAACGGGATCACAGAATCACAGAATCACAGAATCATGGAATCAGGGAATCACAGAATCTCAGAATCACAGAATCACAGGATCACAGAATCACGGGATCACAGAATCACGGAATTATGGAATCACAGATTCATGGAACCACAGAATCACAGAATCACGGAATCACAGAATCACAGAATCATGGAATCACAGGATCACAGAATCACAGAACCCCAGAATCACAGAATCTTCTGAGCTGGACAGGACCCACGAGGATCACTGGGGATACCCAAGGCACCTGAGTCTCACTACCACATGCAGATGTTGATTTTCCTGTCTCTGCAAGTGCCTGCCCTGCCCTGGACAGCATCCCAGCTTCATTAATTTCTTAATCCCAGCCTCTACAATTCTTTTTTTTAATCCCAGTGTTCACACAGCACACTTTGCACAAAGGGCAGTGGGGTGGTGACCTTCACTGTGTGAAAGCACAGGGTTTCTGTGCAGCTTTCCCAGCCCCTCAGATGCGCCAGGACGTTTGTGTGTGGGAGCCTGGGCTGTACGAGGAGTGGGAGCAAGCTTCCTCAAGGCTCTCAGCCTCAAAATAACCCTGTCTGCCTTCCACATGCCTGCCTGGCGGCTCAGCTCCTGTAAAAGGAGAAGAGAAAATGGTTTGGGAAAGACAGGGAGCTCCGAGCCAGACCCTTAAAGAGCCCAGGTGGGAGAGGTGCCAGAGTTCTCCCCCAGCTCTCTCCAGGCCCCGGGGCGGGCACCACTCCCAGGGTGCTGGTTGGAACACGCCGAGCGCTCTGCTGCCTCCCCAGATCCCCAAATATAGCCCTGCACATACAGCCCTGCACTGGGAGGGTGCCTGGCTGCAGAGCTGCAGCTCCTCGGCAGCGCAGCCTGCGCTGGGCATTAACCCCACAGCCACAGAGGGGACGTGAGGCTCGGCAGAACACCCCGCTGGGTGCTGGCCAAAGTGGCAATCACAGTGTCCCCAGCTCCATGGGGATGTGAGAAGGGGACACGGTTTTGTCCCCTCAGCCCAGACCGGCAGGGCTGGGAGGTTCCCGGGAATCTGTGAGCTGGGAATTTTTGTCTTAGTTTGGAAATAGCTTTGCAAATGACTGGTTTCCACAGCCTAAACTGTTTGGATTTCGCATTGCTTTCACAGTAACTCAGCTGTATTTTTCCCTGCCCCAGCAGTCTGTGGAATAGTTTCTGGTTGGGGGAATGTTTATTCCATTTGCTTCATCATGCAACTGCTTTGACCACTCCAGTTCCTCATGCAGCCTCACCCTGACCCTGCTGGGAGAGGATCTGGTACCTGTGCTGAGGACCTCACCCTCTGAATCTCACTGGAGGCTGTGCTGAGCCCCCTGGATCTGGGCACGGGGCTCAGGGCTGCCAGAGGGTGCCCGCAGGCACAGCACAGGCCATGCCAGCTGCCTCACACTTCAACTCTTTAACAAGAAAGCAGAGTTACCTTTGGGTGCATTTATAGGTCTTTGAGATAATTACACATTTTGAAGTCATGCCTCCTTGGCCAGAGTCCCAGCACAGGCAGTGGGTGATGCTGTAACACTAAGCCAGGCAGGAAGGGTTAAAATTACCTTTAATTAACTGATTCCCCAGGTCCCTGCTGTAAGAGTATACAGCCCTGGCAGAGTGCTAACCCAGCCAGGCTGTGCCTGCGGTGCCCTGGGCATCCCAGCAGGCAGGAGGAACAGTTCATGCGTGCTTTTCCCACGCAGGAAAGCAGCAGGAGCACCATGATGCTCTCAACAAAACACTGCAGGAGCCTGGGCAGGGCTTGTGGCCATCCCAGGGCTTCCCAGAGCTGTGGGCATGGGGCAGGAACAAGGAGGCAGCTTGTCCTGCAGCAGGGAGCAGAGCAAACAGAGCGCTCAGCTCCAAGCCTCTCCTAGAAATTTGTGTATGCTTTGGCTGGGGAGCTCCCTGCCAGGAACTGGGTGAAAAGCAAACACCTCCCTGCATGCTTCCTGCCTGCTGCTGCCTCCAGCACAGGGTGATGGTGCCGGTGTGCGGGAGCAAAGAACACTCGGGAAACACCACCTCCCTTACCCAAAAGGGCTCGGGGAATGGATGCCCACAATGGCTGCATGGCAGTGGGGCACAAACCATCCCCTCTCCCCAGCAGAGTGCTGAAAACCTCCACCACGGTGCCCCAGTTCCTCCCCAGCAGGTCTCGGTGTCACAGGCTGTAAATATCCCGTGTTCCCAGCCTGACTGGGGCGTTTGCCTGTAATTAGCTCTTGGGATTTGGGAGCTGGTGTGATCCGGGGTTAGCGACAGGCACCAGCGCTGCGCTGGGATTTAAAGGGACAATGTGGCTGTTTGCAGAGCTCCCAGCCCAGAGCGCTGGCATAGGACACACTGAACAGAGAGATCAGTCTCTCCTCAAAGCCTGTGGGTGTCCTTGCCCACCACAGGTCCCTTTTCAGGCAGAGTTGATGTGCTTCCAGGCAAAGCAGACCAGCTTGCTAGTATTTCTGCCAGGACCTTCTGGTCTTTGCCATCACCCTGGCTTTGGTGCCACCTCAGCTCAAGGCTCTGCAGGCAGCCCCTACTGCCTGCCCGCCGTGTTCCCTGCAGACCATCTCTGCCCAGCCCGAGCCCCCCGGCCGTGCCCCAGCTCTGCTGCCTGCCCCGGGTGCCCGGTGGGTTCCCCGTGCCCGAGGGGCCGTACTCACGGGGTCAGCGCAGCCGGGGCAGGGCAGGGCAGCCCGCCAGCCCGTGCCCATCCGCGCCCATCCGCGCTGCTCTCGCCTCATTCCCTCTCCGGTGGCACTCGGCGGGCAGAAATAGCCCCAAAGCACCTGCTGCCTTCCGGGAGCGATGCCAGGGCCGGGCAGCCCCGGGCACTGCCCTCCCTGCGGCTCCTGCTGGTGCTGGCAGCACTAGAGGGTCCAGCCCAGCGCCGTGCCGGGGCACGCTCTGGTTACGGCTCTGGTGAGGAACATCTTCATGTATCTGCCAAGATAATAAATTCTGCCTTGGAGTTTCTCACCTGGCAACAGTCACCAAGGAGACGAGAATGGATGCTGCGGGTCCCGCTGGCACCGCCCGGGGAGGCCCTGGCAGAGGGTCAGAGGCTGTGTGGCTGCACTCCTCCCTGGCCAGAGGGACAGCTGCCCACCCATAACCTGAGCTCGGGCCCAGCAGAACTCACATCAGCGTGGGCTTGGCCCTCGTGCCCCCTCTCTGGAGCCCAGTGTGGGTTTCACCAGATTTGGGGTGGATTTTGCGGTTTTCCTGGCTGTTGATCCTGGTGTGTGTGTGCATTGGGAGGCGTGACCTGGGGCTGCCTCGGGCTCCTGGGGGGTTTTCCTGTCCTCAGCTCCAGTCTGACCAGGGATTTCGGACACTTGTTTTAAAAGCAGTGGCACCCCAAGTGTTCAGAGATGTCTGGAAAGCCATTGGTGCCAGAGGGAGATCAGATCCTGCTGCCCCTCAGGAAGCTGAGCCACTCCTCCTGACACATGGCACTGCCCTATTTATAGCACCTGTGGTCATGTTATAGCACATTCCTGTCCCTGCTGGGCTGTCCCCTGACACTGCCACCCTAAACATAGAGACAAGAGCTGACACTCGAGCAAATCACTTCAGCCTCATGGGGCTAATTCTGTGAAAATCATCACAGCCGTGCTGTGTGTGAACCTGCCCCGGCTGCTGCTCCCTGCAGGCTGCTGGCACAGGCACGGACAAACCGGGATGGCCACCAGGATGGGGACAGGGAGCTGCTGCCACTGCTCCGCCATCAGCAGCACAGGGGTGGCACCAAAGTCACCCCACAGTCACCCCAAATATCGCACCTGGCAGTGATACCAGAACAGCAGCTTCATCAACCATTAACCACGCATGGCTGCCTGCCCACGGCATGGAACTGGGGCACTCCCTTGCCCAGGACAGGCACTGAGCTCCCAACAGCATGGGGGGCTGGGGGGAAGGCCGTGGGGCTGGGGAGAAGGGCGTGGGGCTGGAGGGAAGGCCGTGGGGCTGGGGAGAAGGGCGTGGGGCTGGAGGGAAGGCCGTGGGGCCGTGCCCATCCTGGGCTCCCACCCCTGGGGCAGGGCAGGGTCTCAGCACCTCTAGCTCGTGGTTGGTGCTCAGCTGGTGGAGGCCCTGCTGCTGCTGCTGGGTGGTTCAGCACGGACTGCTGTGGGCCAGCAGGCTCCTGTTTGCTCCTGGGTACGGATTTTGAAGGACCTCATGTCTTTGTCCCTCTTCACTCCGCTTCCCCCACCTGAGCTCCTGCAGCTCAGACACCCCTGTGTGACTTCTCCACACACATCAATGGCAGCAAGCCAGGGAGGGCAGCTCTGCCCGGGAGAAGAAGCAGGGAACCTGAGAAGCAAGATAAGAGCTTCAGAGCTTGAAGATCCAGGAGCTGGCGCTCTTTTTTTCTCCACACTCTGCCCTGTGGTCTGAGGGTCTCCAGCAGGTCCCTGCTCCCAGGCAGGCTCCGGATGGGGCTGTGTTTCCATCTCAGGGAGCTCAGGAGCTGCTGCCACGCTTTGCCAGGGCACAAAACACCAGCAGTGAGCAGTGGTGTCCCCAGCCCGGCTCAGAGGGGAGCCTGGGCGAGCAGCAGAGCTGTGCACACCGTGAAGGGGACGCTCCTTGCGGAGGCTGCAGAGAAACAGCCTCAGGGATCAGGCAGGGAGAACCAGAGGAGCTGTTCCCTAGAGGAGCCCCTAGTTCAGCCCACAGGCACTGTCCCCACCCCAAGGCACGTCCGGCAGTGAAGGGGACACGAGGCTGCAGTGGGGTGGGTGAGTCGGTGCCGCTGCAGTGGGGTGGGCGAGTCGGTGCTGTGCCACCCAGCGTGGCGGGCAGCCCCAGCCCAGCCGTGTCCCTGCAGCCGCTGGCCTGGCCCGACCCACCAGGATTAGGGAGCCTGCAGGAGTAAGTCATGCAAATCCAGATTAGATTTAAGCAGCTGCCACGCAAAGGGCATGTGAGCAGAGGCTGTGCAGTGGGGATGAGCAGGTGAGACACTGACTGGCACTCCTGATGTGAGGGGCAGTGAGAGCAGGCTCTGTGCCCATGGGGATGGATTTTTTCTCCAGGCTTGGCTTGTGTGCACCAGACAGAAGGCAGCAGTGCTGTGCCGTGGCACAGGGCACCGGGAGGAGATGTTCCCTGCCCTGAAGAGAGAGCCCAGACAGGAGGATGAGGCACAGGGACACGCTGGGCTGTTCGCTTGGTAGGTGCTGGAGAGAGGCCACCCCCCTGCGCAGGGCTGCAGACCATGTTCCACCTCTTCTCCCACTGCTGGTCCTGGCTGCAGGACATACAGGAGCCCGTCAGGTAGGTCCCAGGGGTGACATGTTTACCCGTGTGCTTGGGTGGTGAGGGCACCAGTGTGGTGACAGGGAAGGCCAGGTGCCCGCTGCAGGAGCTGTCCCCAGGCTGCTGAGCAAGGCACACGTGTGTCCCCACCGCCCTGCAGCAGCAGGAGCGGGCAGGGAAGCAGGCTGGGCAGGGATGCAGTGCAGGGAATGGTTCCACTGGATTCTGGCTCTGCAGAGTCAGCAGCTCTCCAGGAAAGCTGGGGAGGATGCAGCAAAACACCTGCCTTGTTTGCATAGGCCAGAACATCCAGGATAATTCCCTGGGACAGCACTGCAAGGAGCTTTGGGGTCCTCTCCCTCCAGAGAGGACACCTTGCCTGCTGTAATTCTGGAGGTGGAGCCGTGCTACCTCTGCTGCCATGCAGCCTGGAAGAAAAGGGCATTGCAAATAACTGTAGTGGCCTGTCCATGGCAGAGAAAATGCTGTTTGTGTGGCTCTGGTGGATCACGTTGCTGGAGAGCGGACAGGACTGGTTAGCAACAGGAAAAACACCTGAGTCTAGGCAGAAGCTCATAAAATCATCCTTGCAACCTTTCCCTACTTGTGTATATTCAAAATTTACTGCAAGGAAGCTGTAATCATTGACTACATATCAGATGAACTGTGCTGGCCTGTGCATATAATTGCTTAATCCTCTATGATTTGAAATAAGTCCTTGCCATAGGAAGTACATGGACGGCTCTGCAGTGTGGGTGTCCCACGGTATTGGGGGACCTCCAGGAACTTTTGCCTGTCCTCACCCTCTCCCATGCACCAGGGATTGTCCCTGCACTTGTCCCCAGCTGAGACAGACCCTGTGTCACTGTCCTGCCTCTGTTCTGGCTGAAATGTAGCAGCCACGGGCAGCGTCCTCTGCCTGGGGGCCAGCAGCGGTCCCCGCTCCCCAGGGAGTACAGCCTTTTCCTGGGGTGCTCCCCTGCTGCTGTTGCTCCCCAGGAAGGTGACCCTCCTTGTCATGGGGCTGGACAACGCCGGGAAAAGCTCCGTCATCGCGGCCATGGGGGCAGGTGAGGGGCAGCACAGCCCAGAGCAGCCCCGGGCGCGGGCAGCAGCCTGGTGCTCCTGTGGCACCAGAGCACCGAGGCTCCTGAGCTGCAGCCGCTGCTCGGGGGACTCTGCGGGGCACGGCCGTGCCCGGGCAGCCCTGGCAGTGGGGTTGTGGCTGTGGCACAGGGCACAGGGCCGCTGCCGGGCCGCTGTGCCACCTCTCCCCGCTCTCCCCGCCCGCAGCGCTGGCCGCGGAGGTGCTGCCCGAGGCGCAGCCCGGCCGGAGCCGCCTGCGGCTGGAGCGGCTGGAGGTGACGCTGCTGGAGCTGCCCGGGGCTCCGCGCTGCCGGGGGGCCTGGAGCGGCCGGTACCGGGAGGCGCACGGGCTGCTCTTCGTGCTGGACTCGGCCGAGCCGGCGCGGCTGGAGGAGGCCCGCAAGGTGCTGAGCCGCGTCCTCAGCCACCCCGAGGCGTCCGGGAAGCCGCTCCTGCTGTAAGATCGGGGTGCGAGCTGTGGGGGTGAGCGGGACCCTGCGGCGGGGCCGTGCGCTGCTGCGGGGTTTGGTGCCGGGGCTGTCGGGGACAGCGGGGACATGGGGACCCCAGCGGTGCTGGGAGATCGGGGCATCCGCGGGGAGGAGGTGAGGGGGGGCTCCGGTGCCAGGGCAGGGCTGGGGCCGTGCTCCACCTGAGCGCAGCCGAGCCGGGAGAAGCGCACAGCCCCCGGGCCGAGCCGGGCCGGGAGAAGCGCACAGCCTTCGGGCCGAGCCGGGAGAAGCACATAGCCTTCGGGCCGAGGCGGGCCGAGCCGGGAGAAGCACACAGCCTCCGGGCCGAGCCGGGAGAAGCACACAGCCTCCGGGCCGAGGCGGGCCGAGCCGGGAGAAGCACACAGCCTCCGGGCCGAGCCGGGAGAAGCGCACAGCCTCCGGGCCGAGCCGGGAGAAGCACACAGCCTCCGGGCCGAGCCGGGCCGAGCCGGGAGAAGCACACAGCCTCCGGGCCGAGCCGGGCCGAGCCGGGAGAAGCACACAGCCTCCGGGCCGAGCCGGGCCGAGCCGGGAGAAAGCGCACAGCCTCCGGGCTGGGGCACCGGGCCGAGCCGGGAGAAGCACACAGCCTCCGGGCCGGGCCGGGAGAAGCACACAGCCTCCGGGCCGAGCCGAGCCGAGCCGGGAGAAGCGCACAGACCCCGGGCCGAGCCGGGCTGACGCCGCTCTCCCGTGCCCAGGCTGGCCAACAAGCAGGACGCGGCGGGCGCGCTGCTGCCCTGCGAGCTGCCCGAGCGGCTGCGCCTGGAGCGCCTGGTGAACGAGAGCCGCTCGCCGTGCCGCATCGTGAGTGCGGGCCCGCCCCGCTCCCTCCCGCTGCCGCCGCCCCCGCTGACCCCCCGCCCTCCCTCCCGCAGGAGCCCTGTGTCGCCGGGAGGGTCCCCCCCGTTAGCCCGGCCCGCGCCACCCTGCAGGGGCTGCGCTGGCTGCTCCGCGCCGCCGCCGCCGCCGCGCCGCCGGAGCCCGGCCCGGGCCCGCCGCACCCCGGGGCCGCCCGCAGGTGGGTCCGGGAGCGTGTCCCGTCCCCTCGGCCCGCCGGCAGCGACTCCTCACACCGCTGTGCTCCCTCCGCAGGGACCGGCCGCGCCCCGCGGAGGATGCTCGGGAGGGCGCGGGGAAGAGCGGGGAGCCCCGGCCGGTGCGGCCGGTGTGCCGCCTCCTGCCCCCGGTGGGTGAGGAGTGAGTGAGTGAGAGGGTGAGTGAGTGAGGAGTGAGTGAGTAATTGAGTGAGTGAGTGAGGAGTGAGTGAGAGTGAGTGAGGAGTGAGAGAGTGAGTGAGTGAGTGAGGAGTGAGTGAGACCCCGGGATGGGACGGGGCCGAAGAGCAGCCCTGCCACCCTCCCCTCATCCCCCTTCCCCTGCCCAGGAGGAGAGCACGAAGGGCCCCAGGAGGAGGAAGAGGAAGGTGAAGGTGAAGGTGAAGAAGAAGGGCTCGGGGCAGCCAAGCCCAGCTGCAGAGTCGGAGGGACCGGGAGCAGGGGCTGCCGGGGGGCTGCTGCTCCCCAACAGGGTCGGGCAGGAGGAGCCCATGCCCACCCCCCGCCCAGGTGAGAGGGGACTGGGCGGCTGCCAGCTCTGCAGGGAGGTGGCCAGGCCTGGCAACGTGACAAAATATTGGAGCACAAGTGCCCGCCGCCTCCATCGGCTTTGCTTGCAGATCAGCTGAGTGCAGAGCCAGTCCCAGGAACGCAGAGGGGAAGAGGAGAGACATCTGAGCATCTCCACAGGGGAGGATGCACGGAGGCAATGGAGGACTGCAAACCTGCCACTGGCAGTCCTCTCAGCTGCTTTGGTGACAAAGGCACCCTTGCTCAGGTGTGTGGTGCCTGAAATTTTCTATTTCTCCATTCAGCACAGGGTATGAAAAAGAAAAAAAAGAAGAAAATCAAGAATAAAATCAAGTCACGAGAACCTTCTCTGGAGCAGCAGCGTGAGGAGATCTCAAGCACCTTTGGTTGGTATTTCTCAGGACAGGTTCTGCTGAAAGCATCAGGGATGTGGCCCGTTGGCAGCGGGCTGAGCTGTGCAGGGACACTCGGTGGGTGCTGTGGGGACACGGGCACAGGCACGTGCTGCTGCAGGGCTGGGTGGGTGTTCTGCAGGCAGAGCTGCAGTGGGGCTGCAGGGGGGCACAGCAGTGACTGCCTGAGCCCACTGTCCGTGCAGCACCCGCTCAGCACGGCTGCCAGCTGGGCCGGGCAGCTGTGCCAGCGCAGTGCCCCACTGCCCCTCGTTCCAGATCTGTACCGCCGGGCCATGCTGGCGCTGAAGATGAGGCAGCAGCAGAGGAAGCAGCCGTCGGCCATCGCCCCCTGAGCAGGGAGGCACAGCCAGGGGCGCGGTCCCTGCGGTGGCAGTGGCACCCACGCTCCTGCCCAGCTGCCGGGGTGCTTGGCCAGGCTGGCAGAGCTGGGAAATGGCTCCTGGGCCACAAACAGCATCTTTGTCCCCCGCGGGGCTTGAAAACCAGGGATCCACAGGGCGAGCCAAAGGTGCCTGTGTGAGATGCCCCTCTGGCAGCCGGGCTGTAAATCCATGTGAAAAGGGAGCAGCCGGCCCTGTTAGTGCCCCGTGGGAGACTTCCCCTAAACCCGGACTGCTCTGGGGAGGAGAGGGAGATCCGAGCACACATCCCGGAGGAGAGCTTGTCCCTGCATGGACCTGTGCCCTGGCAGAGCTTTTTCCCGGAGGAGAGCTTGTCCCTGAACGGACCTGTGCCCTGGCAGAGCTTTTCGCAGCTCAGGGCTGCACTGGAACAGTGTCGGTGGTCCCTGCTGGTGGAGGGAGGGCAGCCCCAGGCGGTCCCTGGGGAGGAGAGCTCTGCACAAGCCTCAGCCACATCTGGCAGGGCCGTCAGGACCCGGGCCACACGCTGGAGGAAGGTGACGCCCGGTTTGTGCATCCTGCAGCCTGGCAGCGAAAATCGAAGTTCCAAGCAGCTGGTGGCGGAGGCTGCATCCCCAGGAGCGTTCCTCCTGACCGTGCCATCCTTCCAGGAGGGTCCCTGGCGCTCCAGCCTGGTGCTCTGCTGGCCCAGGTGGTCCCTGAGGTGTGCTCAGCTCCGCCCTGAGAGGGCCAGCAGCAGCAGAGCCGTGCCAGCCCGGCCACCTGGGCACACCGTGTGTGCCAGAGCCGTGCCAGCCAGAGCCGTGCCAGCCAGAGCCGTGCCAGCCCGGCCGCAAACCACGGCAGCCCTTCCTCGGCAGGGCTGGAAAGGGAAAAGGAGAGGAACTGGCTGCTCTGCCTTGCCAGCCTGCCATAAAGTTCTGTCTGCCTCTGCTGGGTTCAGCTGTTGGTGACTGCAGGGATTGTTTGTAAATAAACTGTAAATAGCAGCAGCAGAAGTTAACAGTGCCCTGTAAATACAGCACTTGCAATATTCCCTTGTCTCGGTCTGGTGGAGCTCCCTGGGATGGGGGTGCTGTGGGGTAACGTGGGGACCAAAAACGAGACGGTGGCGAGTGGTGCCCTGCCATGAATTTCGGGTTTGCTGGGAAATGCTGGAGCTCCAAAGGTCTGGAAGCAGGAAGCAGCGCCTCAGCAGCTGCTCCGGAGAGACGCATTTTCCATCCCTTGTGCATGGTACCAGCAGCATTTCCTGCAGGGAGCCAGCTGGGCGGCACAGCCCTGCTTTGCATTTCAGTATTTGGATATTATCTAGCATATCACTCTGGTCCAGTGTCCAGAGAAGCCGACTCAGGAGCCTCAGGGTGGGCAGAATTTTGTGCCTGGTCCCACCAGCACCGTCGTGGTGCCTCGGCCTGGGCTGTGGCTGCACTGCTGTGGAGTGGCGTGTGGGTGCTGCACATCTGCAGCTCTCGGTGCTGTCACTCAGGGACCCAGGCAGGCAGCAGCAGCTCTCTCCAGAGCCTGGCTCCCTCTGAGCCTGAAGGATGGAGAGAGCCGGGAGGAGGGAGGAGTCCCCGCTCTGAGCTCTGCCAAAGCTGGTGACTCTTTGTGTGCTGCCAGGAGGAGCTGAGGAGATGCTTCAGCAGGTGCCTGTGGGAATACACCTCCCACCTCCTCCCACCGAGCCTGCTTTGCACACTTGGATTGGTTTCTGATGCTTGCTGTCCTAGCAGGATTTACAGAGCGGACTGGAAGTTGAGTAGTGAGACTGCTGCTCTCTTTTGAAGAGCACTGCTTGGTCAGTGTTCAAAACACTGCCAAGTCCTCCTGTGGACACCACCAAACATCCCACTAACCCAAATTTACAGAGGAAGGAGCCAGCAAGTGGTTTTTGTGAGCATCTCAGACGCTGGAATTTGAACACTGATTTCGGGCAGTGAATGAATTGCAATTGATCTGGGTTAATGGGTGTTTGGAAAGGCAGAAGGAATGGGTCACATCCTGTGGGTGCCTGCAGGAGACCCTCATTCCCCCCCAGCCATCTGTAAATGCCATCACCTGCCCCGGGCATGTAACAGCCAGAGAAGGGGAGGGGGTTCCTGGGGTACAGGGCTGGGGAGGGGCTGTCACATGGAGCTCTCCCCTCCCTGCTCCGTGAAAAAGGCATAAAAATGAACTAAAATAAATCTCTCCCCAGCAGGGCAGTGGCTGGGGGGGAAGGTGAGCAGCCCCTGCTCCGTGGCCTTGCTGTGCCGTGGGAGGCACTGCTGAGGTGAGTGAGGGCTCTGCCCATGTCACTCTGCTGCCTGAAAGCTGCTTGTAGCATGTACAGCCTTCCTTAAACAAACATGTCTAAAGCAGGTAAGTGGATTTTAAACCTTGGAATGGCTGTTAGGCTTGTTAGGTGGGTGGAGAAGCTGGTTGCTATGTACACTTTCTCCTGCTTGCAGGTTCTACCCTCTGACTAACTGGGGTGGGCTGGGTGCCAGCATGCTCTTGTGGAAGTTTCCCAGCTGAACAGTGAGTGTTGGGAAGTGGCTCAGCTTCCCAAACCCAAAGCCCAGAGCGCTGGCACCGAGCAGCCCTGGGCACGAACAGCTTCCCCAGGTGGAGGTGGCCCTGGGATGGCTGCAGGGGACAGACAGGGTGGCCCCAGCAGTGGGTGGCACTCAGCAGCAGCGCCTTTCCCGATGCTCCTGCCGGGTGTGAGGAGCAGCAGTCAATGGGCAGGTCCTGCCCCAGCAATAAATCAGCTCTCAGCCTACACTGGATTAACGAGACCTGCTTGGGGCTGCAGCGACTCTAAAGGCGAACCTGCAGCGCCCGTCCGGCGTGGGAAGGACCGGGACGAGCAGTCCTGGATCTCCATGGACTCCATGGGACATAGGATGTACCATAAAAATCCGATTGTGCGCTGTTTGGAATACACGGAAAGCCGATTGCTTCTTTTACAGACAGCTCTGTATCCTCCAACTGGCCACGCGATGGCAGAAGAAGCAAAGAACGCTGCAAAAATAAGTGTTTAAAGGGAAAAAAGCCCACAAGGGGGGGAGGGTTAGTGTGTCCCCAGGTCGGAGGGGACCGAACTCGGAAAAACCCATCACCTGAACAGCCAAAACAAGGGCAGGAGAACGATTTTGTGAGAGAACTCAATGGATTTCCCCAGGCTGTGAGGTGCCCAGGGCTCTCCCTCGGGCCGCTCCATTCTGCCCTGCTTGCAGCCTGCCCAGCGCTGTGTACTGGATTTTTTGTGTCAATTTTTGTGCTGACTGAAATGGCCATGGGCTCCAACCAAGCTGTAGGTGCAAAGTTCCCCCTCGGAGAGGGACCTTGTGGTCCCTTCTGTTAGAGGTAGAAATGATCAAGCCGAATGTAATAATTAGTGAAAACAGGTTTTTATTTCGCGACCAAGACTCGGTCCGAGATAAGCACAATGAAAAGGTCATCAAAAAGCCGAAGCGCTGGGCGAGCACAGGTCCGAGCTCGGGAGCGCAGGTCTGCTATGTTCACCCCGAGGGTTCGCCCAGCAGCTCCTACACCCCCTGTTCTGACCGAGACGGGGTTTTGCTCCTTTTCAACACTTCACATATTCATGTAGTTCCTTTGGTCCGGGAAGGATGTACGCCCATCAGGGAGTTACGGGATTTGGCATTGGGATGCGCATTCCTGATGGCTCTGGCTATCTCAGTCTGAGATATTTATTGAGCATTCATCATTTGGGTGTTCCTCGGATCGCCTTGGAGAAGCACCCACCTCCTTGTGAGCCACGTTTATTCGTTTGCAAATTAACTCCTTTTCTCCCTGCTGTGGTTTGGAAATACCGTGAAGAGACCTTCCCCTCCCCGGCTTGAGAGCTTAAGGGAACTTACGGAATATTTCGAATAGAACATATTTCATGCGTCTGTTTCTCATATGCACGAATTATTCAGAATACACAGAACCTTCCCTGGGCAGGGCACGCCTGGCTGTGCCAGCACCGCCTGTGCGAGGCTTTAAAAGCTGCATTCAGCCAGATTTCCCTCCCAAAGACACCTGTGAGCGGCAGAATCGCCACCAGGGCAGCAGTGGGAGCGTGCAGGCGGCTCCAGGCTGTGCAAAAGCCCGGTCAGGGCTGTTTGCTCCCTCTCTGCGGGGCTGGTTTGTGCTGCCATCGGCTTCTGCTGCCCCCAAGCCTCTGTGCCAGCAGCAATGTCACCTGCCTCGGTGTCCCAGTGAAACCCTGCCTTTGGCTCTCCTTGGCAGGGGTTAAGTCAGGAGATGGATGGATTTAACGCTCAGGTTCACAGCAGGATACTGTACCTCTGCCCTGCCTGAGTTTGGGAGACCAGGCACTCACCTGGGAAAGGGTCTCTGACCCTGGTGGCAGTACATTAAAGCTAGTTACCTAACGTTTAATTCTGTATCACAGGCCAAATCTTGCTTTTTTTGCTTCTAATCCCAGCAAACCTTAAAAAATGTAAGTAATTTCAAACTAAACTGGGTAGGGGCTGCAGTTTGTATGGCACAGGAATTGTAAGGACAAGTGCAGCTGTATGGATTCTTCTGCTGGTGAGAGCAGCTCTCCTGATCAATTAATTCAGGTGGAAGATGAGGAGCAGCTGTACCTGTAGCACCATACTGAGGAGAAGAATAGAGCTATTTTCCTGTGGGCCAGGCAAACCAGATTGCCTTGGCCTTTGGGACCATGCAGGGGCCAAAGCCCAAAGGCTGCTGGTGCACTGGGCATGGCTGGTCTGCTCAGCACCTACCACAGAGCCCTGCGACAGGAAAAACGTCTGAGAACAACAGCTCCCTTTTCCAGCCCAGGCAAACAGGCCAGAAAAACCCCAGGGAAGTACCCAAACAGCAAGGCAAAGGCTGCAGGGGAGGGCTGGTGCTTTGTGGGGAGGGAGCTCTACAGCCAGACTGGTTAGGCATTACATAAAGGTGTTTAACAATTGCCATTCATTATTTGGAAGTGCCTGGCATTGTTTGCTGGTTTCCTCTGTTGTGGTTAGGCCTTTGTGAGGAAAGGTGAGGAAGGGCACAGCTGCAGAGGGAATGTGGCAAGGCTGTCCTTGGGGTGCAGGTGAGTGCCTGGGAACTGCCCTGCCCTGCAGGGATGTGCAGCCTCTGCTGCTCCATCTGCTCGCTGCCCTGGGAGAAAGGGGCTTAAACCCCCACAGGCTCCTGCTGTCTAAACCTCAACCTGCCTCCTGTTCTGCTGCTGGGCTGCCTTAGAGGTACCTCAGCCTGTAAAACTGCCAGCCAGTGGGTCTTCTGCAGAATAAATGTGACTGGGTTTAGCCTCAGTCAAACCAGTATGATGCTGTTTCCACTTCAGAAATGCAAAGTGAAAAATCCGTGTGTTCTCCAGGCCCCTGGAAGCTCCGGCTGCTCTCCAGCCCAGCTGTGTGCCACAAGGTGAGTTTTGCTCCGTTCCCAGTAAGAAGCTGCTCTCAAACGGGAGCGGTGTGAGCTGCTGGAATGGCAGGGGCACCTGTGCTGGGGTGAGGAACCTGCCTGCCCTGGAGCTGCTTGGGGCTGGCAGCCAAGGACAGCACCGGGAAAACTCCCTGTGCTGAGGCACAGGATATTCCTCCAGAAAAGCTGCTTTATTTCTAGGCAATAATGATGTTGAAAACGTAATGGAAACATGTCGATTTTATTAGGGTCCGCGATGTCTTTTTCAACTTCATGTTGAAAACATTTGAAAATATAACAAAAACATGTCAATTTTTATAGGTTACATCTCATTTTTTTCAATTAGATGTTGAAAACATAATGAAAACATGTAGATTTCGTTAAGAGTCCGGGGAAGGGGATGTGCTGTGCCTTCAGCTGAGTGCTGGGGAAGGCTGGGGGCACAGGCAGAGCTCTGGCTACGAGGCTGGAACAGGCTGGCCTGGCTGAGCCACGCGTGGCAGGAAGAGTTTCTGGTGGGGAAAAGTACCCAGAGAGTCTAAACAGCTCCCGGGTCAGTCCTGGCTGGGGAAGATGCCCCGAGGTGTGTTTATGTTCACTGCTGGAGCGTGGTGACCCTGCCTGGGGCTGGGCAGCAGCGGGCAGGACTGTGCCTGCAGCCCAGAAAGCCAAAAAGCATCACCAGCAGCTGAGAAAGGGGTCTGCCCCGTTCCACCCGTGCCATCCCTGCCTGCAGTGCCACATGGAGCTGCTGGAGCAAGTCCCAAAGTGGCCACAAAGTGCTCTGAGGGATCAGAGACGGGCTGAGAGAGCTGGGGGTGTTCAGATTGTGGAAGAGAAGGCTCTGAGGAGACTTTGGTGTCCTCACCAGAGCCTGAAGTGGGACAGGCACTTTTAATGGGGCATGTATAGTTATAGGGCCGGGGGAATGATGCTTTGGGTAGGGCACACGAGGGGCAGCCCTCTTCAAACTGAAAGGCGGCAGGTTTTAAATATTAAGAAGAAATTCTTCCCCCAGAGTGTCCTGGCACAGGTTCTCCAGAAAAGGGGGGGATGCTCCAGGCCAGGCTGGATGGGGCTCGGGAGAGGTGTCCCTGCGAGAGGTGTCCCTGCCAGGACAGGGGCTGGGCAGCGATGGGCTCCGGGGTCTGCTCCACTGAAACCCGTCCTGTGCCAGTGACACAGCAGCGGGGACACGGGTGGGGAGGGGGTGGCAGCGGGTCCGGTGGGGCGAGGCTGTCCCCGTGTGTCCCCTGTCCCTGCCTGTCCCCTGTCCCTGTGGGTCTGGCTGGGCTCACTGTCCCCTGTCCCCACGTGTCAGGCCTGGCGTCCCTGTCCCTGCTGTCCCCATCCCTGTTCCTGCGGTCCAGCCGGGCCCCGCTGTACCCGCATGTCCCTGTCCCCTGTCCCCACGTGCCAGGCCCCGCTGTCCCCGTCCCGCGTGTCCCCGTCCCGCGTGTCCCCGTCCCGCGTGTCCCCGTCCCGCGTGTCCCCGTCCCGCGTGTCCCCGTCCCCTGTCCCCTGTCCCGCGTGTCGGGCCGGCCGCAGTGGCTCCCCCTGGCGGCCGCGGGCGGTGCGGCGCTCCCAGGCTGCTCCGGGGCGGCGCCGCCTCCAGCGCGGCGGGACAAAGCGGGGCCGGGCCGGGCCGGGCCGGGCATGGAGCGGCGGGCGGAGCGGGGCCGGCGGCGCGGCCCGGAGCCGCGCTAGGAGCCGAGCCGGGCCGGGCCGGGCCGGGATGCGGCGGTGAGCCCGCCGCGATGCTCCGCCGCAGCCTGAGCCGCCTGGTGAGTGCGGGGCCGGGGCGGGAGCGGCAGCGGGAGCGGCTCGGGGTTCTTCTCGCTCTGAAGAGAGCCGGGGCTCGCCAAGGGGCGCATCCCCTCCCCGCGGCTCGGCCCCGGCCCCGCAGCGGCGGCTCCGTGCGAGCCCTGCAGGAGTTGCTGTGCTGCCCGATCCCAAACGCGGGTTTTTCCTCCCCAAACCTGCCTCGGGGATTGCCCCGGGCCGGCAGCGCGCTCCCCGAACCGCGTGGTGTTCCTGCCCCGGGCGGGATGCGGGCTGTGCCCCGCCGCCGCTCCATCCCCAGCCCTTCCCTGCCACATGGGCTGCTCGGAGATCGCACCGTGAGCTCACTGCCTGGCCGAGCTCTGTCGTTACTCATGGTTTCCTTTCGCACAGCCAAGGCGCGGAAATCGCGGTGTGCCGCGGTCCGGGGCCGCTGTGTGCCCGGCGGTGTCCCCGGTTGCGCAGTGCGTACTCAGCCGAGTTGCCGGAGTTGGGGCGGTGGGCGCAGCCCGAGCGCCCCGCGGGGCCGGAGCCGCTGCCGGAGCTGCCCGAGCCCCGGAGAGCGCTCTGCTGTCCGCTGACACCCACCGAACACGGCTGCCACACTCCAGCTCCGGGCACAAGGGACTCCCAACCGCCTTTGGAAGTCCGGAGGCGGCTCTGCGGAGCCTGGGAGGGAAGGGGTTTGATTTTGGCTTGGTTTTCCAGGCTGTGTTTCTGTTGCAGGCTCTGGCTTAGCCCTGTGCAGAACACACCTACCACAGCATTGTTTTGCAGCCTGGGGACAGATGGATCAGATGAAACTCGGTGCCCTGACTTTGTGCCTTTGATGCCCTTTTAGTTCAGCTCTGTTTTAAGTGCTACCCCACCCACCCGAGCGGGAGATTTTGTCCCAGTCGTGTCGAGAGGCGTTTGTGGTTTGAGGCATCCCACGGAGTTCAGTGAAAGGCTTTTTTAGGTGGCTGCTTCCTGTGAGGGGAACGGAGCTGCCTGCCTGGTTTGGATGCAGCACCCCCCTGCCCTGCCCGGGGTCTGTGTCCCCTCCCTGTGTCCCCTCCCCGTGTCCCTCGGCGTGGGCAGGGGATGGTCGGTGCTGCTGGGCCGGGATGTTCTCTGGGAGAAGGAGCTCCCCGAGCACAGCCCGGGTGTTTCTGGCGCTCTGTGCAGGGCCCGGTGCTGCAGCAGCTCTCGGGGAGGGTGGAGGTGCTTTTCTGGCTGGAGGAGCAGCTCTGCTCAGGGCTCAGGACAGAGTGCCAGCTCAGCTGCAGCCTTGGTGCAGGGGTTTAGGTGCTGTACCACCTCTTGGCTTTGCGAGCAGCATTTCAGCAGCAAGGAGCAGTTTATCAGGCTGGTGCAAGTGGTGTGGGTCCCCCGTATCAGCCTTGGGCTGATAGAGCAGCTCCTGCCGTGCTGCTGCAGCTCTGCCTGTCCCCAGCCCTGCAGCTGGCTGCCACAGCGGGCTTGGGTCCCTCCTGCTCCATGGGGAGAGGGCAGCGTGTGCCAGTCTGTGGGGCTGTCTGGCCCTCAGTCCTGGGTGGGCAGTGCTGGGCTTCAAGGGATGGATGCACTTGTGGCCGTGGCATTGCAGAAATTCACTGCAGTTATTAAAGGCTGCAGATTTTCTGGCACTTGGGATCCCATAGGGCTACTCAGACAAACACTGTAACCTCTTCACTCTGTGGGCTCTGCCTGAGGCTCATAAATACCAGCAGATAGTAAAAATCCTGTTTTCAATTGTAACTCACAGCTTAGGCACAATGGACGTGATTTGCCCTATCAGCATGACTGTTTGTGGCTCTGTTTTCCCCTCCTATAAACGCTTATCCTGGATAGGGAAGGAGATGGGATGGTAAAAAGAGCAGGAAGGTTACAGTGGGGCATGTGGGTCTGCACAGCTGCCTGGGGGTGCAGGCTGATGCTCTGCAGAAACAAATTGGATTCTGAACTTTGATTTGCACCACTGAAATACTCCCTGTCAAAGGAACAGTTGGGCTGGGATCACTGCGGGGAGGTGGCGTTGGATTGCCACGGTTAATCCACTTTTAGGAGATACTGTCAACTTGAAATATAACTTTAATTCTTTTTTGGAAACAGATTCTAGCACTGGAGTCATATTTTTAGTCTCCTGCTGCTCGTAGGGCTGTTGTGGGAGGGTGCTGGAGTGGAGTGGGGAGGTGTGAGGGTGTCCAGGGGAGGGCTGGGCTGGCTCTGCTGGGCACTGGCCACGTCCTGCCTGGGCTGCAGGGCTGTCCCTGTGGCAGGGCTGTCCCTGTGGCAGGGCTGTCCCCCGGCAGGGCTGTCCCCGTGGCAGGGCTGTCCCTGTGGCAGGGCTGTCCCTGTGGCAGGGCTGTCCCCGGCAGGGCTGTCCCTGTGTCCTGCATCCAAGGCAGTGTGCTGTTCCTCCCTGCCCTCCCTGTGTTCTTGCAGGTGGCTGTGCCCCGGGGCTGCAGCTCTGCACCACAGCTCTGCCAGGGCTGGGGCAGTGCCCGATAAGTGAGGAATGCACAAAGAGAAGCTGCTGATGCCCTCCTTGTTTGCACTTTTCCTCCCGATTTGCTTTTATTTCAGGCCAGTCTGGAGGCGCCCTGGGAGCTGTGACCTGCTCACTGAGCAGGAGGGCTGCTGGGGCGGTGGGTGAAGCACCCCAGGGTGCTCTCGCTTTTTGGGGTGCCTGTGCTGGCTGAGCCCCGGGCTGCTGCTCTGTGTCCTGCCTCTGCAGCCAGTGCAGCTCCTTGCTCTGGTACCCTGCTCTTTGTGCTCAAAACCCAGGATAAGTGAGAGAACAACAAACAGCCTGTAACTGGGAGCGAAATTCTCCTGTTGGCGTGTTTGTGCCGTGTGTAGCAATGGGACCTGAGTTGTGTTATTCCAGTTTAATGAAGTACTTGGGGCCTGATCCTCTTTGCAGCCCGGGTCCTGGTAAACCCCTGGCTCATGGCAAGTGCTGGGCAGGCTGTGAGCTGCTGGCTCCGGGCACTGTGGGGGAAGGAGCCTCTCAGGTGGGTGTGCGTGGCTGTCCCTGGGCCCTGGCACAGGCTGCAGTGATGTTCTCTCCCCTGTGCCAGCAGCGGGGTACCCCACTAGGTTATGGGGCCCTGTGGGGCAGCTCCTGCCTGGGACCCCGCAGGAAGAGGGAGATCTCTCACTGAGATGGCTGAAAAAGGGAAATGGCCCAAAGTCACTTCTTAGATGGGAAGTAAATTCCCCACTGGCACGGGGAATGGGTGAGAAGGGGCAGGGTTGGATGGGGAGAGCCCCTGGGGTGCACTGGGCAGTGTGGGGCTGGGGAGGTGTGGAAGGTGTCCAGGACTCTGGTGGAGAATGCTGATTTACACTCCCATCTCGAGGATGTACAGCAAGTGTGTAATAAAATCTATTTTTGCACACAGAGCACATCTGTGATTTTCTTTCACACTTGTTTTTTTTTTTCCATAGAGTGTGAACCAAACATTAGTGTGTGATTTCAGTTCCTAGTCTAAGTGTAATCGTCTTTATTATTTGGAGTTGGAAGCTGTAGGAGTTGTCTTTTCCTGCCAGTCCAGCCCTGTTAACACCTGGAGAGTGAGGCTGCATGTCAGATACCTGATGCCAGCTCCTGCAGGAATTGTTTTGTTTTCATGGATGTGACAAAACCTGCAGGCAGCAAAGGCTGGGGCTGGGGTGTCTCCGTGACACCAGGTGGCAGTTCTGCTTGGAGAAATCCCACACTTCAAAAGAGTATGGGTTTTAATTAAGCCACTTGAGATCTTGGTGGAAGTTGCTGGAGTTTTATTTTGAGATGTGTTTAGCATGATAGCCCCATTCCACGTGCTCAGGCAGTTCCCCTGTAGCAGCCACAGGGCAGCCCATGCTTGCCCACAGGGAAGTCAGGGGAGGCTCAAATAGGGAAGCTGGAGAGCAAAAAGCTTAGGGTTGCAATCCCTTAGTGGTGCTCCTTCCCTGGAAATGGGGACACAGGGCTTGGTGAAATTCCTGTAACCATTTCCTCTTTAATGTCTCCTGTAGCCTTATCCCAGAAATAGCTCAGCCATTCAGCTAAAAACAAATAAAAATCGACCAAGGAACTTGGCCTGGGATAAACAGCTGCACATGTTCATGTGTTCAGTTAGAGATTGGGAATTTGGAAATTGCTGTAGGGAGGGCTGGAAAGCACCGGTCAGACATTAATGATAAGTGATGCTTCTAATTAAACCTGTGGCACGCTGGAAACTTTTCTGTGGAAAATGAGTCTTGGCTGTATTTTCTTCTTCCCTCCGTGCCACTTTTGTCCCCAGCTGGTATTTTGCTGAGGAATGATGATTGTCTGGGCTGTGCAGGAAAGGTTCGAAGCTGCAGCTGAAGACATGGCAATTTGCTTTTAATGATAAAATTTCTGAAAGCAAACAGGGCATCTATTAATAACAAGCTTTTCAGCCTTGCCTTTAATTTCATCCTGTTGCTTTTGGTTTATGTGCTTCCTTTCTGATTAAAACTGCTGTGTTCTGGCTGTAGCTGTCTCTAGTGGAGAGATTTATTTTTTTTAAGTGTTAGTTAAAAGCAAAGCTGATGGAGACCGTTCAGTGTCCCTAAGTCAGACACCCTAAACTTTCACACCCCAATTAGCTGTTGTCTGCCAGTGAGGGTGTTTTTAGCAGTGCAGGTTTGGTCCCTGTGAGCATCTTCCTGCCATGGCACCACGCCTGCATCTCTTATCCCAGGTGTGTGATCCCTTGGGAGGTCAATCCCACTGTGTTTGCTGAGGAAATGCTGGGCTGGCCCGGTGGGAGCATCTCTGTGGGCAGGAGGTGCCTGCAGAGGAGCTGAGCTGGCACTGCAGGGTGAGCAGTCAGTGGGCAGCTGCCGGGGAAGGGGCACTGCTCCAGGCAGTGCCTCTCCCTGAAGATGCTCGCTGCTCGGGGGATTTTCAGGGCAGTTTTCAGGGCAGTTTCCCATGTTTGTGGCGTGTGGGAGCAGGTGCTGAGGCTGGAGGGCAGTGGGGAGGTTTTCCTGCGTGCCTTGGGCG